AGAATCAATTATCCATTTGTTAGTCAGAGGAGCTTTACAAATTATGCATTAGCAGATTGATTTCTCAGGTTCACCATTGGGGGACTGATAGTGCAAGGTGGGTTGATGATGGGTGTCAGGGGAGAAGGAGTTGCCACAAAGAACACAATTAAAAGAAGCTTTCTGAGTGGCTGTGAATTTACTCCTAATTGAAGAGCTGACATAATCCATACTAAGTGCGTTTATTTCAAGCATTTTACATTAGGTAATTGATTATCACATGAGGTAGATTTGTTGATAGATACTTGATTTTTCCATTCCTTTAAATTTAGGATTTTGCAAAAGCCTACGTTTAGATCTTTATGTGCAAGATGCCTGCTAGCTTTTTCTCCTTCTCCCTAAACTTTTCTTTCTTCCATTAAGGTAACATTTTTTTGTTCTATAGTGTCAGCTTGACATTATTGATTTTGAACAGTCAAACTTACTTATGTTGTCCAGAATTCCAAACATGTCTCCATCAGAAAGAAAACTGCAGCTAATGGAAATTCAGCTGAAGGCATTTCCTCCTTCTTTGCCAGAACTTCCACACTGCATGAAATTCTGAAGCTGTTCCCAGGTTAATAACTTGAGTGTATTTCCCTTCCTAACTAACAGGATTCTTCTTATTGCCAGATTTGAATTAGTTTGCTTTAGAAATACTATCTGTGTTACTATTATTTATACAGTACTGGAAGTATTGTTGTGACCACAAAGAAGTTGTGTGCTTTCACTTGTCTGGCCTAAAGCTAGGGGTCCTGATTAGGTTAAAAAAAGAAAGATTAAATAACTAGCACTACATTGGGTAATTAATAGTAATTTCCTCAACATTTTATAGGCAGCTGCCTGTAGCTTTGTGGCATGGGGTTTAAAGTTCGTTCATCTCTTAATTCAGTAACATTTACATGGATTATATGTTCCTAATTTTTAGATTGACACTTTGACCTCAGATTACTGTTCTAATTCTTAAGTTTTGATATATATATTTTTTTTTAAATATGATGCCTGTAAATATGGACAATTTTTTTCACCATCCATTTCAAATACTGTTAAAACAGTCAACTGACCAAACCCCAGAGTATATCCCGGATCCAACTGTATCAAATGATCAGTCCTCCAGATTGTGATGTTAGTGACTACCTGTGTCCTCTCTACCCTTGAGTGATTCTTCATCTTTTGTCGATCTGTAAAGGTGCATGTTGCAGGAAGGGCATTTATTTTCTGTACTGTAAAAACCAAAACATATTTTCTTTTGCCAGGCAAATTAAACTCTTCAGTGGGTTAGCTGGAATAAGGTTTAAAAACCCACAAGGGAAAGACAGTTGTAACTCCATGGCTGAGTTGATAACATCTAATAAAAATAAAAAATAAAAAATAAAAGCAGGGTGAGGGAGGTTAACCCACAAAATTATCTGCACTCCTCTTTTCTGAAATATTGAAACTATACACAGGGTGCTGGCAAGGTATAAATACAACTAAGTTTGAAATGGTAAGGAACTTTGTTGACTGGCACAGGAATATATTTGTAAAAATAATTGATATGAAAAGATGAATTGGAGCTGATTCTAGAAGAAACACTTTGGTTTAGAGAACACATGTACCAGTTTTATCTGTGGTCTTTTTTTTTTTTCCTGATTTCCTGGATAGTTTTAGATACAAATCGTAAACAGCTTTCCAGTGGAATGTAGTTTTGGAAATGGTGGGATTGACTGTTACTCAGCTCTGAGCAAGAAGATCCTGGAATTAGCTATTCTTGCTGCAACTTTATTTTAAAAATGTATTTAATATTCAGCCTTGACTGTTTTTAAGCTTATGGTCTATCATCACTTTCTGAGCTCCATAGAAAGTTCTGACTGGTAAAGTCGGTGAACAAGCTAGTAGCCAGTAGTTCCAATTCAACTTGAGTGCTGGAGAAAAGTTACTCAGTGTTTGCTTTGCCTTGTGTACATCATCTAGAATAGAGTCTCTTCTTGTAACTTAGCTGGAGGTTTGTGTAAGTGAGCAGGTCTACTTTTAGTTGAATTTATTTGTCTTCCCTGGTTATCATCTGTGTATAGGTGCAGACAACAGGGAAAAAAGAACTGGAGAAAGGAAAAGTTGAAAGCAACCAGTAGAGGTGTTGGGCATACAGAAGTCTTGTAACAAGTTGCCAGTTATGTACAGCGTTATGAAGTACTATATCATCAAATTTTGACTCAACAAACAGTTCTGAAGTACTGTGCGCAATTTGGAATGTGAGAAAAATGCAAATACTTTGGAATCACCATCTCCCCCACTGACAACATTCTCTGTGTATAGAAGGAGATGTTTTACCTTACTAGGCACTGTTTGTTTACCTGAGTGCAATCACACATTTGATCTCCAAAGTATGCCACGTGGCTTTCAAACTGCAGCATGACAGATAAATTCCGTCATCCCGCTCCTCATCTTCAACTTTTATGTGAAGATGACTTGCACAATCTGCCTTGCCTACTTCCTACACATCATTTTTTCAGCATCAAACTTTATCAAAGCCATTTGGCAGCAAAACGGGAGCACTGTGGTCTGTAGGAATGAGCAGTCAACTCTTCTGGTGTGTCCTGTTTTGTTTCTTTTTTCTCTTGGGCTTTGTTGCAGTAGAGTGTCTCCAAGAATGCCCATCACACAGGATCTGCTGTTGCTGTCACGTCAGCCCTGGTGGCAGATGTAGGTGATGGAGAGATGACAAGAACAAGGCCAGTTGAACACTGTTCCTTAACGTATGACCCTGTGTCAAGATGGGGCTGTTCAAGATGGAATTTTTGCCTTTCCAATTGCACAGTAATGAAAGAAGAGAAGAACCTTTGTGAGAAATCTGTGGCAATGGCAACTTAGATGCAGCCCAGAACAAAAAACCATGCCACTTCCGTGATGAACTCAGCTGAACTTTCTGTGCTTGTCATTTCAGAGGGCCAGAGTTCTTTCTCATTGTAGAGGGAATGGTAGAGATGTGCTAGCATTTTTTTTTTGTTGTTACTATTTTTTTTCCCCTCGACAGAGACAAAAATCTTCTTTTGCACCTTGATGAGCAAAACAGAAGTTTAAAAAGGCATTTTCAAGGTAAGGCAGGAATGAAGGTGTGTGCTAGCAATTTTTATGAAGCTTCTGGAAAATGAGACTGACTACTGACCTGTCTTGCCTTGTTCAGCATCCTCCAGTCCTAGAATTAGGCAACACTGTGTGTAGCATCTGAGAATCAGAGCTTTCACAAGGATGTTGACCGCACCAGCAGGCTGATGGGCTTGAGCTGTGCTCCTCAGCTGACACCCCCCAAAACATGTCAGGAGGAACACAGCCGGGGAATGTGCACCAGCTGCCTGTACTGCCAGCGACGCGCTCGCTTCTGGTTTTGAAACACAGCAAGTCAGTGTAACCGCTCTGTGGCCAATGAAAATACATCTGGAGCACACAAGTGGAGGAAAATCAGTTTGACTTCTTCCTTGGCAGTGCACCTTTTGGCAAACAACACACAGTGGAAGGACCACTTTGTGATAGGCAGTAATTGCGATATTTTCAGATGTTGTTTTGTGGCAACACGAAATGAGACCCAGAGTGGTGTCTCCTGCACGCAAGGAAGTGGGAAAGCAAAAGGGCTGGCAGCATCCTTTTCCCAACTCATCAGGGAACTGTTGCAGTGCAGAGCTCAGTTGTCCAACCTTGATTAGAAAGAAGTGTCTAGGAAATGAAATGTGATTTGAGCATATATTCTTTTCAGGGTGGAAGAGAGGAAGACTTAATTTCCCTAGATGGAATTTTTTTGTGTGAAGGGTTATAGGGAAAAGCTTTCCAAAGGCTGTGAGAAGACCTTGGTTTATCTCCTGTAGATAGTCAGTCTGGACAGTGTGTTTTTATCTAACTCTTTATGATGTACTTTTTATGTAATTCCAACTTCCATAGCGTATATAGGGACTTGTGATATTCTAGACACAGTTGTGTAACATCTGATGTGACCCCACAACTCCAGTGCAGTTCCAGTGACACTTTCTTTTCACACAAACATGCAATGCATTTTTCTTTTATCATGCTTAGAAACACAGAAGAGATCTGTTCTGTGGTTCAATCCATTCAAAAGTTTATGAGAGTAAGAAAAGTTGTTCTTAAATGTGTGAGAGAGACTTACTTGGATGAAGACCCTTCAATGATGCTTGAAATGATGAGATATTTGTTACAGAGGGTGAAATCAGGATCATAGTATATAAGAAAGTTCTTGGTACTTTAATATAATTGGATAGGGTTTTGTGTGTGAGAGGATATGCTTCGCATTATTCAAATGGTAAGTTAGTCCTCAGTATTTAAGGTAAGGATGTTTAAGCTAAAGTAAACAGTAACAGATTCCCCATAACCCTGTAGATTAGAACCAAAAGTATATCTGGATAGGGAAAGGAAAATGTATTAAATTGGGGCAGTCTTCAGGCTTTTCTCAATATTTGTCTAAGAATGAGTACACCTATGTTGCACTTCAATACCTTCTAATACTCATTTCTGAGAACACTGTTAGAAGCAAAAATGAAAGCAAGAGAAGGGATTTGAAGGAAGAAATAATTACTAGTCTAGCCATCAGACCAAACTGGAAGAATTTTCAGTTGCCTTGATGCCTGTGTGATCAGCGTGTTTTATGCTGAGTTTTGATAGTGAGAGAGGTTCTTAACAAACAGCAGTGGTGCTCAGACACAGATGCTCAAGGTCTGGGAGTCTGGCACTTCAGGAATGCTCCAGAGCCCTGAGGTGCCTAACTGCAAAAGTTATCAAATTTCTGGGTTAGGCAAAAGGCTGGAAAGAAGGCTGACTTTTGGCACTGTCATAGAAATACCTGTTCTGTGGGGGTTTTGAGATTTCATGGAACTGAACGTTACGCAACAGTTAACACACAAATCTCAGGAAGTGTGGGAGGTGTTAAAGAACTGGTGAATGTATCTTTAAAGTCAACTTTAAACGTATTTTTTCCTTCTTTTTTTTTCTTTCTCCAGAGCCCAGTGAAGATCAATCAGATCAGCCTGGATGAAAGTGGAGAACACATGGGTGTTTGCTCAGAAGATGGCAAGGTACAACAAACTCATTTATGTATTTAATGACACAGCAAGTAGTCCTCAGTATTACATTTGAGATAGTCGTGGTACCTGCAGAGTTAATTCCTGCATTTAGTACCACTGCTTTGACCATCCATTTCGAGAACTGAGCTCACCTTTGAATACTCAAAATTAAAGGAAAATATATTTTGCACAAATGTGCCGTAGGAAAGGTAATTACAAGAATGTCAATAATGTAACTGGTATTAAGCTGATTAACAGCTGTGGCAGGAGGACATGTCACCTTAATCATTACTGCTGTGCCAGTTATACTTCAGTGACTACTCTGCTGTTCCTGCAAGACAGTAGTTTAATGCCTTTCTGCTATAAATCCACAAAATTGGATTTTGTGGGCATGATTTCTGTGGGCTGGTGGTTTTCATTTTCACACACGTTATGAATGTTTCTCTTGAATTATAGAATCTTTTGATAAGCAATCATAGTTTATCAGAAGAATAAAGTGTCTTACAACAGCCACATTAAATAAATGTAAAATCAATATATGTACAGTTTCCTAAAAAACTGGCACCTACTTCCTTGACTGAGGACATACATCATTTGTGCAGTGTATAACTAACAATTATCAGTGCTTCTCTGGAATGTTGAGCTGTGACATTTAGTGGTTTTGGTGATTGATTTTCCACTTATAAGAATGTCTTTTTTGTTTTTAAGTCAATGGCAGTCTTTCCTAATGTTCGTTTGCAATGATAAAATTCGAATGCACAGGGGGTATTTAAGGTTTTTAAATAGAATGCTCATATACAAATGCAGCACATTAAAAATGAATTCAAATAATTTCTCAATATCCATCCGACTTCCTGAGGAGAACATTTCTTGCAGAGTAGAACTGGGGGGAGGAGAAATGTAGGTGATCCTAATGGGTGCATCTCATTTAGTAGAAGTTCTATAAATTAATAATAAAATTGGATTTTGCAGTAGGCAAAATGGGGAAAGAATCCCTTTAGATTGTATATGCTTGGGGTTTTTGCTTCCAAAAAGGTGGTATTTTTCCTCAACAGGCAGGCAGCCTGTTCATGTATCCAAGCCTTTTGTTTCTCAGAAATATCTTGATGTCAGTATCTTGACACGGTAATTGGGATACTAGTGCCTATCAAAGTGCTTGTAGAATTTTACAGCCTGTGAGAAACACAGCAAGAGTGTCCTAATTGTCTAAGCAAGATAAGGGAAGGGTCAGTAATTGTGCAAGGTAATAAAAATGTTGAGCTAGCATTGCTGGGTTGGGTGTTTTGAATGGTGGGGGGAAGCAAGCACTTGCTATAAGGGCTCTTCAGATGTGACTGTGGATTATTGACTCAAAATAACGTATGTTACAGTAAGACTGCAAGCCACACACATTTTTCATAAGTTAATATTAAAAATATGTATTTGATTTCAGAAATGTTCAAAAATCCATAATCCCTACTCTGGTGTGGCTGTATCTGAAAAGACTCCAGTACTTTAAATGGTGAATCTGTCGCCATTCAGTGAAGTAGCTACTGTGGATCCAGTAGGTGCCATTACATGCTATACAAGGCAGTCTAAACTGTGGTCCCCAAGCCAGGGCTAATTCTGGTAATGGTTTTGATGCAGGGCTGGAGCATCACAAGTACAGTATTCATCATATTTGCATTTCATAGAGTCTAGAGACATTGATGCATCACCATATTCTACCCTCATCTGAAAGCTCATCTGATGATTTGAAAGATCTGGGTGTTTTAGAAGTTCAGACTTTCCACTTGACACAGAAGAGTGTGTGTCTATGCAAGAATCCACCTCTAAAATGGCTGAAAACACATACTTGTATGTTGTGCTACTGTATAAGAAAATTAGAGATATTCCTGGCCAGATAATGTAGCACTTCTAGGTTCTGGGTCATAACAAAAGTGTTACTTTACACTCCTTATAGCTTTTTCCTTACTGCAGTGGAAGTGTTTGTGTTGTAAGAAGTTAAACACTTGTACAAGTGGTTGTAAAGTCATCATTAACTCAAATAAATAAGTAAAAATAGTGAAATAATTTCTTTAAAAAAAAGAAAAAAAAAGTGAAACAGCTTAGTTTTCTTAATTCAGTTTTAAAGGAAAAAAGGGGTGTAATAGGAAGACCTGTGAATTTTGAGCCAGCTGGTTGGAGCAAGTTTTTTTCTACCAATTTAGAAACGTCTGTCCTCTAGACTACTGCAAAAGGGTTTTGCAATAGGCAGGGAGTGCATTTTGCCATATCAGAGTAGATCCAATCTGAGGGAGATGGAAACCAGTTGTTGTCTTGAAGGAAGAGCTTATGATCAGAAACCCCTCCTCATATCTGTTCTACTGTCTGATGCATTTCATTTTACTACATTTTTCTTTCTTCTCCCACTCTCAAGCTAGATTTGGACTCGCTACATTGACTGGGAGCGAGACATAGCAGCATAGTGCAATTCTGTAACCCTCTTCGTGTCGCGTGGCACCCAGACCTTGTCAAAACCTGACACCTCATACATGGCCACCAAGTGCTTTGGGAGCCACTTGCAGCTTTTCTCTACTGCATGTTTGGTTCTTTGAAAATCTTCCTTGCCAAGGGACTCAGCTGCATCTGGTCGCCACTGGAATGGAAAGGAACAGAAATTGAAACTACCACTTTGGTCTGGTCACTGGCTGGGGAAAATGTCTGGATGTTGAAATATTAGGGAATGAGAGGAGAATTTTGGTGTTGGAATAAATAGAAGGGGAAGAAGGCTTGCAGCTTCAGAATTATAGAGTTTTTTTCAGTTAGTTTATTTCCTACTTGTATGCTGTCTTGAAAAACCTGGACCTAACTGCCAATTTTGCTAAAGCTCTCTTATGTCATTACGTAACAGCAGTATAATTTGCACCCTTATTGGTGTGTACATTTTTCTATATGAAGAAACATAAATTATATTGAAAACCCATGTGCTAACATTTTTTATTGTCATGTTTAAAACAACATTTATGTTAAGAATATTCATGAAGTATTAAATTGATATTTTTTTTAAGAAATGTGGCTCATAGATAAAATGTGTTTGTTTTCCTGCCTTTTGATCAATGAATGTTGGCTGCTTCTTTCACGTGTGAAAGCAAAGAAACAGCTAAGTCTGGATGCACTGGAGTGGTGGGTTCTATATATTTAAAATCGAACAGAACTGGCAAAATGTAGTGGACTCTCATCATGAAATCCTTTTTTCAGCTACCCAAAACCATCATGAGCTGAATGGACATAGAAAGCAGAAATAGATAAATCCAATATACGTTTGTAATATCAAAAGAATCACTTTCTCTCTGAAGAATAAAAGACATTAAGAAGTAATAAACTGTTATGCAGTGTCCCTAGAGTAAACGTGATAACATGTATTTTATGCTGAGTTGTTTTTTCCTCTTTAGTTAACTGGCTCCGTTTTGTTTTCATACTCTTAAAGGAATATCCTATTGCCATGTTTGATGCCATATTATGAAAATGTTGCAGGCACTATTGCTATTAATTTTGATTAATTGGTTTTAATTTGAGAGAGCTGTTTCGTCCTTTTTGAGGATTCTGCTTCCATGGAATTTGCAGTGTAGTGTTTCAACCATGTCTGTTCTTTTTCTTCCCCTTTTCTTCTCTCTGTCTTATTTTCTCTTTCCTCTGTTTCTTATTTTCTTTAGTCTGTTGCATTGGATATGCTGTGCCAGCTGATGAAAACAAAAACCCAGAAAACAAAATCCTCTAGACATCAGCCTGAAGGTTTTCTAGGCTTACAGCCAGGCCCAACTCAAATACAGCCCTTTGGTTGGCTTACATAATCACAGCTTTGCGATACATCTCACTGTCTCCAAATATTGATTTTCTAATCCTTTGGAGCAGTAGCTCGGCCCTCCACAGTGCATGCAGCAGTATTTTTAAAGCGTGTTGTTAGAGACAGTATATTCGCTAATGAGTAATGGACAGAGCTGATAATGCTGCTTAGGAGATGTATCCAGGAGACAAGCTTGAAAGGGAGATGAGGTGGTTTGAGATGTTTTTGACTTCACTGAGGCTGCTGAACTTTGAGCCACTTTGAGGATGGCTGAGTTCCTTGCTGATGGCCTAGTTACTCTTGTAGTTTACCTGAAGTCTACATTTTTTTGCTCTGTCTCCTTTACTGTCTGCAGGAATTTTGGGGGTTCTTGTCCTCTGAACTGACTGAAAAGTGAGCCTTCTACCTCACTTCTTGTGGCCCATTACTGGTATTTACAGGCTGTGTTCTGCAGATCTTTGCCTTGTGGGTTTTTTATTTTTTGTTAGTATTATTTTTTGGTTTTCCCCCTGAAGGAATCATGATGGGGATGGAGACAGAGAAAGAAATAAGGTTAAAAGATCTCTTAGATCTTTGAGTCCAACTTGTTGACCATGCAGGGCAGAGTTACTGAAGCGATTACCTTTTCCAGAAAATAAGGATGAATCACTAAACCTGTCGGGGAACCCTCTAAAGTAGATTTGCTGTCAGATACAGTTTCCCACTGATTGCTTCATGGTATATTCCTCTTTTTTTTTTTTTCTTCACTTCCCTTCCTTCTTCCACCAGCAGTGTCCATCCCTGCTGGGGTGCTTTTGTTCCAACAGCTACTGGCAGTGGGTGGAAACCTCTTGAAATCACAATGAAAAAAGCAAATCAGTTACTATTTTTTGTGGAAATCATAATTAGCAAATCATTTACTAATTCCTGGCCATAAGTCTTCAGCCCTGTTTCACTCCTAAGTTCTTTAAGAACCAAGTTGTCAACTGTCTATCTGAGAATTGGGGAAGGGAGTATTGCATGTTGGATGAAGAGACATGAGCCCAAAAGAGGGCTGTACTTAGAAAAAGCTTGAGAAATACTGTTCTGTAGTCATAGCATCTAAGTCTACTAAAATTTCTTAACATTTGATATCTCTGTACCTGTTCTGTAAGTAAAGGGAAGAAGACATTTAAAAATGTTAATTTTCTTTTACAGTAGGAACATACTTTTGTTTTTGTTTTTGTTTTTGTTTTGTTTTTTTTTAATGTTGAGCCTTCTTCAGATGGATTAATTCTGATAGATATTCTGATGGCTTATGGTTACAACTTCAGTGCTGACTATTAAATGTACTGAGACATCAACATAGATGAGAAGGGAGGAATCTTCAGAGAGAGACATTTCCAGTGGTCATGGAATAAAACAAAATAGCACTGAATACACTTGGGAGGAGGAAGGATGACAAGAAACATATGGGTCTTGTTTTTCAGGCTGGTTTTGCTTTATTGTCACAAATTTCTTTTTTTCTTATGTAAACCCTGTATTGCTTGGAGGGGAAAAAAATCCTACAGTTCTCTCTCAGAAAGGAAGAGTTTTTAATTTATCTTCCCCTGAATGTTATTATGTTGCTCTTACCTTACTTAGATCAGTATCTGTTAAACAGATTTGATCAGCCTAAAGCAAAAGGAGCTTGTAGTTTTTGCTGTGTTTGTAACAAAAAAAAAAAAAAAAAAAAGAAAAAGATTCAAGTAAGTACTTTTGCACTGCTTCAAATATTTAGAGATATGCCATAATAGGAGCCCAAGATGTCTCAATTAACTCTGAATTGTTAAATATAACTTTCTTTAGGAAGAAGGATGTAACTTAGCATTCAAATTAATCCTTTAGTTGTTAGTGATTTACATTCACCTTTAATTGCAAAGTGGCTATTAGTAAATATTTTTGATTTTTTTATGTGCTTCTTTAGGTGCAGGTGTTTGGATTGTATTCGGCAGAAGAGTTTCATGAGACGTTTGACTGTCCTATTAAAGTAAGTGCTTGTTTTAATCTTTAGTAATTGTGTTGTTGTCGTCTTTAATAACAGAAAGGTCACATTGAATCTAAATGAGAGGAATACCGCTTCCTTGTAATGTTATTCAAGTCACTAGAAAATAGTTATCTATCTCAATATAAAAGCTTTTGATCTAGTTAGGCAGGAATAAAGCTGATCTTGGTTTTGTAAGAAGTATTATTGAGTTTTTCAAATACAAAAGGTAAAGTGAAAGAGAAATTGTCCTGTTTCAGCTGTTACCTGTCTCAATGTATTTCTTTCTTTGTAGATCTGTGATAGAAATTCTGAGGGTTCTGCTAACTGTGAGGTCAATATTTTGCAACCGATTCATATCTGTTAAACCTCCCTTTGGATAAGGCAAGGGGTGGCGGTGCTGATGTACCCTGTCTGAAGGGAAAACTTCAGTTATACTCTGCATGAGGGACACTTGGCTGCCTGGCTATTGAAGAAGCACCTCTAGTAGGCATATGGGAAGATACAGCTTTTTTTAACAAGAAACGTTTCTTGCAGGAGGAAGGGTGGTCTGGGCAAATGGTTGCATTTTGCTGCTTGGGGTCTTTCACGTTGCAGCTGTTCTTGGGGAGGGGGGGAAAGGAATGAGGTCATTATATTTTCACACTTCAGATGCGACTCATTTGGGGGCCTTACTGCTCTTACAGCTGGATCTGCCACGCTTGGCATGTAACACACAGGGCAGAGAGGCTGTTTAAGGTGTGTTGATGCTACACGATGTTGTCCAGTGATGGGGCTGAGGTGTGTGTGTCCTCATACCTTTGCTCATGGCAGTCCTGTGCTGCACGGTCCTAATTCTGCTGCCTGGTGTGCAAAAAAAAGTAGGTGTTCGGTGTAACGTGGCCCTCAGTGTCAGGCGTGTGACTTGTCACGTGCCACGTAATATGGAGAAACTTCTTCTTTTCTAGGAAAAACAGAGATGTCTGAAACAACTAAGCTCTACTTCAGAGAAAGAACTCAGCCATAATACTTGATACTTGACAAAGGGTTATCTAGTTTAAAAAGTGATGTGGTGTTCCCTGTAAACTCTTATTTAAGCCACAATCCTCTCTTCTTCCCCCTCCCCACTTCTTCCCCATGTCCCCCCTCAGATTGTTGCTGTTCATCCTCAATTTGTAAGATCCCACTTCAAGCAATTTGTAACAGGAGGGAAAAAGGTAAGCAGTCATAGTGTAATGAACTTAGGCTGTCTTTAAACAGCTTTTTTAAATAGCTCAGAAGGCTGTGTATATGATTTTTAACATCGAGAGCAAAGAATTCTGCTTTTACTTCCTCTTTGTGCATTGTATTTCAAAATGTTCTGACTTAATTAAGACTAATTCCAGAGGGGAAAGTGCACTTTTTATGTTAAAAACATGTTGAAACAAGTTGAGCTTCAGAGTAGAAATACTTCTTTCTACATAGTCTGAAAAAAATGTCATTTGCATTTCTTAGGTCAGAGTTTCTCCATTCATTTTAATTTGTTGAAGGGGGAGTAGAAGTTAGACCTTAATACTGATCTTTTACAATGCATGCTGGTCTTGGTGTTTGGGATTTTTCTCTTGCTTTACCTGTGGGTGGTTTTTTTGTTTGATTGGTTGGTTGGTTTTTTAAGTAAACAAACCCAAGTATCTTCATCAGTTCTTGTTCATGGTGTGGGGTTGTTCTGTTTGTTTTTAAAGTATTTCAGGGGAGCTCTTGGTAGAGTAGAGCTCCCACTTCAAGTACATTTATCTGTGTAGTTAAAGTCTTCTACTTGGGACAGTTATTTTAAATGTGCATTAGGCGTCTTATTGGTGTAGGGTGCAATTTTGACTTCCAGATTACAGCTGTTTCCAGGTCCTACAAGTATCTCATATCACACTGCATATTTTCAGTCAAAATATGAAAAGTTTGATTTGGAAGGGTTTCTTGAATTCCTGGAATTTTCCTGTTGCCTTCTCTTATGAATTAAGGATGAAGAGTCCTCAATTATAGATGCATCAAACTGAATGTCATGACTCTCCCTTACCAGCATATAAGAAATACAGACTTCTAGTGCTGAATACAACTTAATTTTCATTAACAGTTCAATATGTTTCAAAGCATAGCTGTGTTTTATTTTGCTTTTTAAGTGGCATGTATGCTTGACAGCTTTTGCTGGCTGGTTGGAGTTGGTGTTGTCCTTAAAATAATGCACAGTCAGTGTATGTCTTTGTCAGCCACCAGTTTGTGAAGCTTTTTAGTGCTGATAAAAGGGGTATGGAAAGAGAGAAGCAGGGAATTAATAGAACAGGGCTCCGTCAGGTGGTAAAAGAGCTTGCATTCACCTGATGCCGAACAGAAAAAAACATCAGGGAGTTAACACATTCTCTTTGGTTATCTTTGATTACTTGACAGGTTGTTTTATATTCTGTCCTCTGGGGAATGGTATACTTGTTCTTAATGCATTCATTTTTTGCTGAGGAACTTTTCTCTTCAGGAAAACTTTAATTGACATCTTAACATAAGGTATTTAGTATTGAAATAAATGTCCCTCGACACCTATAATTTGATTTTATTGATACATAAAACCAACAAATAAAACCTCTTAGCCTTGTGGTGGAAACCCTTCCCCTTTTCTCCTTTCCTCCAAAAGGAGCGTATGTACTTGAATGAAAGCAACAACGAAATGCACTGTGAAAATGCAGAAAGTTAAATTCCGCCTACTTATTTATTGAAGTTTGTTTTTTTTTTTCTTTTTCTGAAAACAAAATGGCCTTGAAAACCATCCCTGCTTTTTATTTACACCTCTCCTTAAACGCAAAGCCGACCAGCTGTATGGGGAGTTGGTCCCCAAGGGCGAGGAGAAGCAGGCTGAAGCGGCCCTTGCATCTCTCTCCCTCCGTGGAGGTTGTGAGTTGGGTGAGCTCCTTCGGGGAGGGGGATGGGACCTCCTGTGGCTCCCGAGGTCTCTGTGCTTTTAGCCTTTGCACGGACCCAGCGACTTCATAGCTGGCAGCGGTGGGAGGCAAGGCTGTCCTCACTTTGGATCAAGCTTAAGAGAAAAGCTTTGCTTGAAGCCCTCATGATATGCTCCTTGCATGAGCCGCATTCAAAAACATAGTTGAAGTGTGTGAACTCTTCACCTAAAAGCTTGGGGGTCTCTGTCTGTTGTTTGGTAGTTTGTTTTGTTTTGTTTTTTTTTTTTTTTGTTCTAGGAGACCGTGACATAATGCATATTAGCATTTTAAATGTTGGGGGTTTTTTTAAATTGTTTGCTAAGATAATTTGAACGGATAAAAGGACCCAGAAAGAAACTTGATAACTTTCTCAAACCCCTCTAATTGCATTGTGAACACTGTTGTCTCAGAATGAGAAGGGTGTTCTTGATTTCCTTCTTGAATTTCATGCTGATTTTGGTTTACAGTGAAACAAAAAGAAGCCAAACCACACATGCGCACAGGAAGCAAGAACTTGCCCACCGACCTTAACACTTGGTTTGGTCTCATCCCCAAAAAAACCCCACTTTAAGATTTGCTTAAATTTATTAATTTTATAGCTAAGCATCTGCCTCAGTGGGATCCTTAATGAATGGGATGTGGGGGCTATAACTGTAAATTACCACCTCCTTAATTTTTTGAGACATACAGTTCCCCATGACAACACAAAATGTGTAAAAAAAATACCCTTTTCAGCTCAAAGACCCACTTGCAGAGCATTCTGCAGTTGTTCAAGGTGAGCAACAATCTCTTTAATAAAAAAAAATAATATGTAGAGAGGGAGGGAATACCACTAAATGATGTGCTTCAGGGATGCACAGTTCAAGTCCTCGGTTCCCAACACAGGTGGATGTTTGGAATGTGGGTGAATTGTTGTGTGCTGCTGAGATTTGCCACGTCTTAGAAACTCAGCCTGACCTAAAGCTGACTTAAGAGGAGCTCTCTCTGGAGTAACTGTTTAAGTCATTGCAGGTTGTTGGAAGCTTAACTTTACCATGCATATGTTTATACAGTTGCTTAACTAGGCATGTACTAGAGTCTTTTAAGAGTGGTTTTTCTCTAAATTGTGTTACGAACTAATTAACAAGTTTAAATTATTTGCTTACTAAAGCAGTAGTTGTTAAAAACAAAGAACTTTCATGAAGGTTGTGATAATATCATTGCCTTCTATTTGGGGCTGGAAAAGCTTATGTTCACTTTTTTTTTTTTTTTTTTATTTTCAATGAATGAATGTTATCTATGTCTAGAAACAAGGCAGGTACCGTGGAAACAACATGGTTGCAGTGCGAAGCAATAGGTACCATAATAAATAGAGGTGCTTCCCTGCTCCCCTCCCCCTTATCTCTACAATTAACTACAGCACCATTGAGATGACTTGGCACATGATGGTAACCCTGAAATAATACTACTGTATATTGTAACTAACAGGCCATTCCTGTCCGGAGCAGACAGTAGAGCTTCAAAGCAAAGGAAAAGACAAATACTGTGCTATTGAAGGCCATAACCTTCTACCTTTTAAAAAAAAGGGTCTAATCTTAAAAAATAACAGGGTAAAAGTCAACTAAATGAGGGTGGTAAAGCTGAAAACAAGGTGTTCTTTATTTAACTGTTAGAGTGCTGGTCTTTCCCAACACATGAGCTAAATGAACATTATTGCAAAGTCCAACTATCCTTCATATCCAAAGGGTTAAAGAGGCAGAACTAACAAAGAGACAAGGCTGAGGGATATTTCAGTTCCAAAGTCAAGGTATCAGCTACTGCATCTTATGTAAAGATAATTTGGGAGGGCAGGACAACTTGAGGTTTCTTTCTTGGCAGAAGCATTGATGAGGCTCCCTATTTCATCTTTTGATTAACATCAATAACCAGACACAAAGGTTTCTGTAGTAAAATTCCTAGGAGAGAGAATCCTCTGGAGTGATTGAGTCACTCTGCTGAATGTGTGCTAATGAAGGTTTTTTTGAGGGTTCTCTACCTAGAGTGGTAGTAGGCACCCAGCACAATTAAGCAAATGAATTCTGAAGCCATTATGGGAATAGGAAATTCAGTATTTTAAAGGACTGGGCCTCCTCATTTGCCTAGGAGATGCACTGTGTATAATAAGTGTTGATTTGAGTATCCAGTCTGAAACACTTTAATGGCTAGGGAACCAAGATGAAACTGAAAAATTACCCCATGACTGTCAGCAGTCCTATCTTTATATCTATCTGTGTCTGTATCCACATAATATATGTATATTTCATATATATATATATGTATATGGTTGAAATGGGTATAAAACCATATTTCTAATGGGGTCTGTATTTCCTTTGCTAGAGAAGATACACTGTAAGAACTGGTTTTCAAATGCAGATATGTCTGAATATTTTTGTCCTGTTTATCCTCCCAGAATTAGCATTTGAGCATATCGATGCCCATGCTCTCTTTTCTGTGTGTTAGAAAAGCAGAGAGAACGTAGTGTTACCTGGGGCAAATTTCTCAGTATTAAAAAAAATCTAAAATATTATTTCAGTGTTAGAATTTTGGGCTGGACCCATGGTGTCTCCTCTCTGAAACACAAAACAAGACACACTAAATTCCTTTCCACTCCAGGTGGAGCAAGGTCATATAGAGAGAAAGGAGAGCAGTTGCGAACAATGCACAAGTGGGAAGAGAAATAGTATTCTTAGGGATCTGCAGCTGCTGTTATGGGTGGTGGAATTTGTATGCTAAAGTCAAGTCTGCCTGGGAATGTTTCAGATTTTTTTTTTTTTAATTGTCTGCTTTTTAGTGTCAGCAGATGCACTTTGCTTTGTGAGTAAGTAGATGACCTTTACCTCTGAACCCTATGATATGTACTTCATAATAACTGGTTGGACTACTTTGACAAATTATTAAATTGTGAGGATGCTGTTTGCAGCACAGTCCATTTTTAGAAAGCAGATAGTCAGCTGTTTGGCATTATGTTGGGTAGAAGAGTGCCAGACAAGAAAGGCAGATTGCTTTGTAAGCTATAAAATGTCAGTCAGTAAATACTCAAAGGTCTGGTTTAAGTGAAGAAAGAATAAATACTATGGCAATTTCTGTCCATGCATTGGATAATTTACCGTAAGTAGGAAACAAACTGTAGCAGCAAGCAAGCCACAATAATACAGGTCTGCGATTTGCTTGCAGCGATGTATAATGCCCGGATGTATCCCGTATCATTGAGCAGATGAGACTTTGATATGTTGTGATGTGCTCTTTGCTTAATAAGCAGGTTATTTGCCTTACATGTCTTCTTTATTATTATTTGGAATGTGCATTTCTTCCTTACCACTCAAAAAACAAAACATTCTCTTTGTGCTGTAACAGACAAATTTGGTTTGTGTAAAGAGAGAATGGATCATAGTCCTGTGTGCGTGTAATCTATAGTTGTGTGTTTTGCAAATGTCTGTGTAGAAAACTTTTTTCATTGCCTGAGGTGACAAGCAAAGAGGATCTAAATATATGAAATGTGTGAGAGTTTCTCTCTGCCTCCAAGGCTGCAGGACTTGCTTTCCAAGGTGTTAATTCTGTAGCTCTTTGTGAATAGGCGACAGCTGGAATCTAGCAGTTGACTTATTAAAAGTACAGCCTAATAAAAGTCCTGTGGCATTTGTTTGTATTAAACATCTCAAAATTTCTGGCTTCTCTACCCACGAACTACAGCAGCAGCTCCTGTTTCATATCTCACCGTTGCCATCACTTACCTCCCAATGCTGCTGTTGTCTGCCACTGCCTCCTTGCTTGATTTCCCTTGACTGCACCTCTTGCCCTCCCCTCCATCCACACCCCAGCTCCTTAGACAACAGCATTTTGTGACAATATTTTGAAAACTCATCTTCAGTTGAAAATTTGAGGCTTACATTATTCTCTGCCTCGTTTGAGCTCATCCAGTCCATCACTGTTCCAAACAGAAGTGATAATTTTTTATTGTTGCTATATATTTTCCTAGGGATGCACGATTAAACAGTAAGTCTTCATGTGGCATGCTGTTCTGTGTTACTCTCAGATATCTGTTAATCTTGGCTGTGCCTGTAAATGTTGTTTTTATGCTGAAAATAATAAATATCTGTAGTGATCACTTCTGAAATGCTACTGCCATGGTTACGTTTTTGTGATCTTGCCTGGCTGAGGCAAGAGGTGCCAAAAATCAGAACAAATGCCACAGGTAGGCACATCTTCACACTCGGGCAAGAAAAATAGAAGGAGTTTTTTCCTAATTTTTATTTTGTGAAATAAAAACTAATTCAACAATGCTGTAACAGGGAAGGGTGGCTCTCCAGTTACAAATTGAAGTCTCAGCCTTTGTCTTCTCTAAAACTCCTCTGGATCTTTACAGAGAAGGTGCTATGTTGAAATAAAGTAATGATGCTGTGCATAATGCTTCAGCAAAAGTGTGGTTCCTTTGAAAGTTTCCACTGTGTGAGAACAGACATCTTTTATTTCAGTGTTTTGAAGGTGGTATTTGGTAGTGGGATGAAATTGAATTGTATTACTTCACCGTATTGATACTACCAAAGCCACAGTCATTAGCCTCTTTGTTCAGAGGATTGAGAATTCCTGTACATAGTTTAAAGACTGGGATTACATGCAATTAGTGTTAATGCTAATTGCATGAGAGGCTCTGTTAAATCCAAGCACTAGACTATTCTTTTTAGTGGATGCGCTCTGAAATTGAGTTTTGAGCTCTTTTCGGGGGAGGTTAATCTCCTAGTAGTGAAAGATACATAGAGATATATTCACTAATCCAAGAGAATTATATCCACCTCTTTTTAAAACCAAAAAGTGTCCTGCACTGTCCTCTTGTCTCATGCATTTCAGTGTGTCATTTTTCTGAATGATCCAGTGGACAAGCATAAGCAGTTATGAAGACTCGCAAAATAATAAGTAGTGAACTGTCAGAAGATTGCAGTGTACTATGAAGGAGTGTGGGTGGAGACCCTTGAAGTCAAAGTTTAGTTTAGTTTATTTTAACTGTATTTTCATGTAGCAGTACATGCAGGAGATGCTGGAAGTGCATTCTGAGTACTGCTGTATTGTAACAAAGGCTAGAAAGATTTACCAGAGCAAACCAAAAAGGTGAAAATACAAACTGTATTGCAGAAAATGCAAGAAAGTGATTTTTGTGGCTGCTGTTGAAATATAAGTACTGTGAATGCTGACTGCCAGAATATGGGATTTATGGGAAATAAAGCTCTAAAACATTTTTCCCCTACCAAAAAGAAAGGGAGGTGGTAGGCAGAGCCCCTCCAGAAACAGTGGATTTTTTTTTTTATGTGTCTAGCTTCTCTTGAAGTTTTAAATGGTGTTCTGGTGTGATAAACATTTCAGTGTGAAGACAGAAAGGAAGAGTAAGAAATAAATTAGTCTGCTTACTCTGAGAGATGCATTCAGTGAGTAGCAGTTCCAAAACGCATAGCAAAGTTCTGTGCTCAGTAACTCAGTTTTCAGCTGTCATTGCTACAAGAAATAATACAGAAATCACATTATGTATATCAATAAAAAGCTGATAATTGCATTGCAGATAAATTAGTGAAGCATGTTTTGAGATTATTTTTTTTTTTAAGTCACTCTGTTGAGTGTCCTTTTGCTTCAGTGTTGGACCTATTGCACTCACTGATATGAAACGGGATTCTGGGTGCTGCAGTGATTCACATGCTATTTCCATCTTTATTACATGCAATATCAGACTTGTCTTCTACTGCCTTGGTCTGAGGATTTAATTAATCACGAGCTTGGAGTTGAGCATAGACTGAAGCAGGATTTTTTTTTTTTTTTTTAATTTTCTTTCCTCGCCACAAATTCTTTCTCAAGTCATTTACTTGCTTTGCAGTTTCTTACTCAGGTAGAGTCTCATGAAAAAGCCTCATGTTCACAAACCATGAACAGTAACAGAGTAGCTGCGGCGTGTCATTACAAGCTCGCGCTGGATCATGTGTGTAATAAATAAACTCAAATCATGATTCAGTCATGAGTAGAAAAGATTCAGAGTTCAGTTGATGTAATTGACATCAGCCTATTTTAACCTTTCATATCATCCACATCAGTTTTTGCAGCCTTATCCATTAAGTCCAGATGAAAATTCTGTGTGTTTTCCTGCTGTCTTTATTGAAAGAAGCATCCAAGTGATAGTTCTTTTTCTACTGAGCCTCTCCTTAGGAGTTTGTGAACTAGGGAAGAAGTAATTTTCCAGTCTGGATCAGCACAGCCCTTCGATTTTACTGACATCCTCAGCTTCTGAGTGGAGCCTAACTAGTTTGGGTGAGGGCTGCTCCTGTGTTTCACATCCACCTACCTGCCTGGCAGTGGGAATCCCTCAGTATGGCACTGCCTTAGGAGTGTAGGGATTACCCTGCTTTCAGTGTCTTGCCTTGGTTACTAAAATAGCATGTTCTGTAAGAGCTTTATTGAGTAGTCTTTTTGTAGGTGGAAAAACCCCCAACCCTAAGCTGTCTAAAGAGTGGGCCTTCATGCGAGCTGTGTGAAGGACAGAGTCATTTTGGGTGGGGTGAAAGTGGCAAGATGTGCTTGAGTGTGAGAAGTCTGATGTCTGCCGCGCACTTCATGCAAAAAGTTTCTTCGAGACTATCCTAGATAAGGACTGCCTTAAACTTTTGGAGGAAATACTTGTCTTCTGGTGCCATCTCGTGGTTTTAGGAGAGAAAGGCAGTCTGTGTAATTGCTGTTAAAAATCCCTTATTTTGTTAAAAGATGCTATTTTAAACAGCTAGTGTCTTGTCATTTGACGTATTTATGCAGATGTGGTGCATTTATAAAAAAGCATGTACAGCTGGATCTTTGGAAATATTAACAACATAGGTACACAATTTAGGTTTTAGTATGGTAAAAGTCCTTGCTGGTAGCAGTTTTACATATCTTAATGCTCATTGTGCACCTCTGTGAGCTCAGGTTCAGGTTGTGCATGTGGGTGTACTCATGCAAAAGTTGGCAGAACTAGTACTTTAGAGTATGATCTTCACAGATATTTCAGCTTCTTACTTAGGTATCCCTCTAAACACTGCCCTTTGCATCATTCAAAGTGATTCCATGTTATAATCCTTTTAAATAACTTCCTGAAACTGTACAGGAACAGGTAAAAGAGCTGGACTGTCATGCAGACTTGTCTGCATGTAGTTGGGGGTTTTCTTTGCTGCTGCAAAACATTTCATAACAACTCCTATGCATTTAGGTTTTCTAAAATACCTTCCTTATTTGCCGAACCTGAGATTCCCAATCACACAGGTTTTACAATCAGGAGCACTTGTGGTACAGTGCGATTTGCACGTGTGGGCCTAACACACAGCATCTCTAGAGCCCTGTGGAAGGCCATGTAGTTCCACGTGGGGCCAAACAAAAGGTCACAGGGTTGTGGTTCTGTGATAATTTGCTTTGACTACCTGGTTTTCAGAGAGAAAAAGGAGAGTATCACAAGATCGGTGGATAGATGTGAGGCGGCCTGGTTCCTTTACCAGCTTTCTGAAGTGTTGTCACCAGGACTGAAGGCTTAGGTTCTCAAATGCCTTAATTTCTTTTTCCTTAAAAAGGAAATAATTGTATTTACCATTCTTTGAAGAAATTTGATGGAAGACCTGCTTATTAATATTATTATTAAAGTTACTCGAATTCTGTAGTACACAAAATTCTCAATGTATATGTCCTATATGAGAATGTTTGATTGTATCTGCTTTTTTGTTTTGTGATAGATTCATTTTTTTTGTTGCCTCTGGATTCAAGCAGAGTAAGGGATAATGAAGCAAAAAATACTTCCCATGTTTACATACAGCACTGTGTCACGGAAATATTTCTTGTTGCACTTCTTCATAGTTACTACTATATGAAAGAGGCTGGATGAATAGATGGAAGCCTTCAGTTTTACACGAAGGGGAAGGAAATATAAGAAATGTAAAATGGAGAGGACACTTAATTGCTTGGGCCAATAATATGGTAAGTATTTGTCACTTCTGTTAAATGAGCAAAAATACTGTTGTGTTACACTGATGTTTGAAAAGTTTCAATGTTAATTGCCAAAATATTCTATTGAAAAATGGTACATTTGAAGAATCCATTATAAAAGGAGTTGAAAGATAATGGTTTAGATCCCATTTCTTCGTGGACATTCCTTCTTGCATTTCCTACTAGTTAGTCAGTGTTCTCCATACAATTGCCAGTTCTGAAGAACTTAAGAAAAGTAGCTCAACATACCACTGTTGGGGATGGTCACTACTATACACTATTGTATAGCAGAATTTTGACCAGTGCAATTTATTGAAGCAAACCGTCTTAGGAAGAAATGCTAATATAACTCTTCTTTATATAAATAATAGAACATCTCTACTCCCCTGAAAAAAAACCCAAACCTGTCTGGATTTTGTAATTTGTACAGAAGTGGCATTATCATATGCACTTCTAATGTTGCAGATAATAAAAAATTATAGTAATAATTTCTCATGTTGGTTTGCCACTAGAAAAGGCTGGACTTAGTAGAAAATAGGCCCTTTTTGCTCTAAGTGTAATTCATATTTTAAAGGGAACCATTGCTTTCACGCTGAGTGTCGCATTTCACCTATCACTGTATATCTAATTGATGGGTCAAGGTCTGTGTTTTAAAGCTCCGCAGTGAGGAATATGTTTTTAAGTGTGTATCATGTCTAAATTCCAAAATCGTATTTTAAAATAATGTGGTGAAAGTACTCGTGAAACATTAGCATTTTTCCTTTTACCATTTTTCCCTCCTGAAGGGAAGCGTTTATTAAAATATTTTAAAGCCATTGTTCTTTTATTCCTTTCAAAACCAGTTTGATATGAAATTGCTAGAGGTGGACTTCTGTTTATTTGCTCCCCTTTAATAACTGCATTAGAATTGAAACTTCAATGAGTGCCTGATCGACATAACATTAGCTTTTTTGAAGGTTTTGTTCTTTTCAGAGCTATACAATTAAAATATATATTCTAGGTGAATCTGCTGGGAATGGATAGGACAGTTGAAGACAGCTATCCCTAGAGATCATATGCCACATCAGAACACAGAATACTAATAAAATGTTGAGAGCCATCTGTCAGAGACAAAAAGCCATGGTCAGGGCCTATCTTTCAATGAAAAATTAAATGACACTTGCCCTCCAAAAGATTAATATATTTGGTTATTGGCCTTTCCCTCCCCCCTTTACCTTTTTAAAAATTTTTCCATCCTCTAGCAAGGTTTTGTGTTCCTTTTTTTTTTTTTCCTCTCAAAATCAGAGAAGATCTTTTACAGCCTTGCTTCTTACTGTGTGTGTGCTACCCAGTTTTTATTTTCTTAGGCCTTTTATACTTTTTGGCTCACTGTGAGCTTGTTAGACACTGGATATTCTGAGGTTACTTAGGCAAGCTCTAATTCTGCTTGTCAGATGCTCAGGTTAACCCATGTTTGCAGCTGTGCCCTCTTCTTCCTCCATGGCCAAGAACGTAAGTTTTACAAACTGAGACACCCCAGGACCAAATCCTTAGGGGTGTTTGGCTGCCTAACATCCATTTGAACAGGTTTTGGGCTCCTTCATGACAGGAAGTTGACTCTGGAAGTCCTTTTAGTTCATGATGCAAATGGCATAACTATAGAGGGTTCTACACTATTGGTTTGAAAGGCGCTCTAAACCTAAGCTAGTCTATCCCATATGGGATTTGCTGCCTTGTAGAAAGACACAAGGTGTGATATGTGTCACTTTTATTTGAAAATTATCCTTGAAGACAAAGTGATAAGATTAATAAAAGACAACTTTATTAAAATACAGTTCAAGGAAGATTGCAAGTTTTATCAGATGAGCTTAGAAAATACAAAGCATAACCTCCCTGTTTATGTTACCCAGAAATCTGGGCTCTGGACACTGAGATGCTGTGTGCAGATTCTTTTCTGAACCCTTGATGGCTGTTAACCATGCCAATAGGAGTGTGTTCCATGCTCACAGTTCTTCAGTGACAAAGATCATGGGGAAAAAAAAACTGGCCCACCCCCATGCCACTTTGTCCTGGTTTGGGCTGAAATAGAGTTAATATTCCTTTGCGGGGATTAGATGAGTGCTGTGTTTTGGATTTAGCTTTGGGTTTGGTATGGGAAGAATGCTGATAGCACACTGATGTTTTCAGCTGCTACTGAGACTTCAAGGACTCTCCGACTCCCCATGTCCTGCCCATGCACAAGGTCACAGGGAGCAGGGAGGGAGCATGGACAGAGCACCAGACCCAAATTGGCCAATGAAATATTCCATACCATGGCACGTCATGCTCACTGTATAGAGCAGGGGTGGTCGGGAAGGAGCTCTCTGGCTTCCAGGATTGCGACTGTGGGATCTTGGTATCTCGGGGTCGCTGGCCGGGAACGGGCTGGGGATTGGTCAGCGGGTGGGGAGCAATTACGTTGTACATTGCCTGTTTATATAGTTCCTTTTTTTCCTATCATCATCACTGTTCTCATTTTATTGCCATTATTAAACTGTTCTTATCTCAGCCTGCGAGTCTCCCTTCACCCCTCTAATTCCCTCCCCCATTCCCAGGTGGGGAGGGGGAAGGGAGGGTGACCAGCTGCGGGGGTTGGTTGCAGACCAGGCTCAAACCACGACACACTTACAGCTTCTTGTGATCTAAAATAAATAAATAAACAAAGGGAAAAAGAAAAAAAAAAATCAAAACCTGACTTTAGACTACGATGACCATGTTTAGATTCTTTGTCTTACAAACGGTTGAATCTCTACAGCTGGGGACATAGAAACTCACAGTGCAGGGGAACAGAAACAGGCAGAGAAATCTTTTAAATCAGTTTTGTCACTAGAAAAATCCTAACATGGAATGGCATGCTGGACGCTGACCTTTCAAAGGTCCCTTCCATCCCCTTTTCTGTGATTATGAGAATTGTTCTTTAAGCTCAGTGAGCAGAAAAGAAATACTTACTAAAATGCTTTGTTTTATTTTCGGGTCTGGCCTGGTTTTGACTGACAGGAATTTTGCTTTTAAATCCTAAGAACAAGTCATTACTTAACATGAAATTAATCTCCATTTTGCTATTGGAAATGTTGTAGCTCACCTTGTCTGAATGGCATGGAAAAATCTGATTAATAGCAGGTTATTTTTTTTTCTCTCAAAAAACTTTAATCTTTATTTCTTTAAACTTTTTGTTCTCTTAGTTTAGGAGATTCCCTGAGGAGACAGTGAAAAATCACCGCATACAAACCCAATCATTTAAATATGCTTGCTTTTCTGTTTTAAGAGTAGAAATGCATTCCTGAAGAAGTACAGATTAGCTTCATTTATCTTAATGAGCTGCTGCTTCACATCTTTTCTTTTTCCACGGTGGAAATTTCTGCTTCTCTACAGGGGCTGTTGTGGAAGAGCTGGGATTTTTTTATTTCTCCAGTAGTAGCACCAGCCCAACAAGATGAACTTGTTCATGACTGGAGTTGCTAATCTGCCACTCATGCACTTATTATATCTTTTTATTTGGCACGTGAATAAAAAGTATCTAACTCACTCTAACCCTTTTGTTTCTTCTGTCACCTCCTGGGTTAGACAGGTTTTTGTATCAACAGCTTTTTCTGTTGGCACACTCAACCCACCCTGAAATTTATGCCATAAACTGCTACGACTGCCTTAGCGTACAAAGTAATGCGGGATGTGGTGAGTAGGAGTTTGTCATGCTGAGAAAAGTTCTCCTGTATTTAAACTTTCAGGGCGTGAAGATACTTGACATGATCTCCAAGCAAAGAATTACCAATGTGCCTCGAGACGACATAAGCCTTCGCCCAGATATGTATCCCTGCAGCCTTTGCTGGAAGGATAATTTAACGCTGATTATTGGCTGGGGAAATTCAGTAAAGGTGCAATTACCTGTCTTTGTAATAAATGCTTGCTGTTATCACAGACAAACAGAGGATTATTTCTGAAAAGCAAAGACAATCGAAAAAAATAGAATTTGGTTTGACTACAGTGTGCAGAACTCCTGCTGCCATAGAAATGTCATTGGACTGACCCTCATGAGGAGGAGGAGTGATAGACACGCAGCGGTCAGACAGATTTCTGTGTGTGAGCATGCAGGCGAATGTAATCCTCAGGGACACTTCTCTCTGTGCTTTGGAGAGATTTCCTCTTTTGAAAGCTTTTAGTGGGCTGCTGAATTCATTTCTTTTGATTAGCATTAAGGGAGAACAACTTACAATGAGGTATTTTTGGAGGCAGAGGAGGTTCTGACTGCTAAAACAGCCACATGATTTTGGTCAACTATGGGAAAAAAAAAGGAGTGGAGTGGGGGGACAGGCTGCTTGGGGTTTTGTTCTGCTTTTAGCAGGGAACTGGCATTTCAGAATTGTGTGCTGCAGACTGATTATGATTTGCTCAGACCAGCACCTGACAGGAGTTTGTCACAAGCCTGTAAGCTGTTTTCTAATAACAAACAGCTACATCCCTGCACAGTGGGAAATTAAAAGTGCTGTTTGGGAGTAGATGGAAAGGGAGGGTAAAGTGAGGTAGGTGAAGCATTAAAAGCTTTTGGAGCATTAAACTTGAGAGTTTTACAAATGAGGAGGTTTGTCCTAAGTTTGGCATCTGTCTTCCCCCTTCTATTGTGAGTGCTTCACAACACTTGAGTATTTGCATTTGCTTTATTTGTACGTACTCTCCTCCTGTTATTGGTAGTTGCAATAGCATATTCTTACTGAAATTGTAAGGTAATGACACACACAAAATTGTGAGAAGATACCGAAACTAAACTCACATATATGTTACTGTCTGGAAATCATAGTGGGCAGATGTTTTCAGATTTTTCTCATGTGGTCTATATTCCTTCTCCTCTCCCATCATATATACATAAGGCTGTGTACTACAGCTACGACTTTCCTGTCTGGTTTTCTTCTTCAGTGATGCATGGTCACTGTTTTATAGCCCGTGTTCTTCAAAATACAGAAATGCATGTCCAAGTATGCAGCAATAAGAAAAGGATTTTCTAGGAAATGCTAGTATCATTTTAGGAATTACACTTTGTTCATCATAATGATCCAAGTCTCTGTTTCCTAGATTTGCTCAGTAAAAGAACGACATGCCAGTGAAATGCGTGACCTTCCAAACCGCTATGTGGAAATAGGTATGGTTGTACAAATGTGCTCTTTTTCAAAATTATATAAGCTTTAAAGGTCTGTTTTCACATTCTAGCCTGAAAAAGCTGTTACAGTTCAGAGGCAACATGTAGTCATAACATAAATGCCTCCTCATTTTCAGTTGATGAGGTTGTCATAATGTCCTCCTGCATAGGTTTTGTTAGTGTTTTTTTTTTTATTCATAGCATCTTAAATTCTGTGATCATCTATATTGGGACAATTTTTTAAAGGAGAGGTTTAGCCTCAGATCTTTTATATAGTCTTCTGTACCTGTAAGTAGCTTTTAGAAAATAATTAAATGGGGTTGTTTACATAGCGACAAGTGAACAGAGACAACTTCTACTTCAGCTGTAATGTGTCTACATGGAGGGAACTTTTTCATCTTACAATTTTTAGCTTAAAATCTTCTCTGTATTCTTGAAGACTGGCATTTTATCTCACTTAACCTGTTAACGACATGCTTGAGATTTTTCTTTCTGGTTTCAGGTGAAAGCACTGAAACAGCTCTGACAAATACTGTCAGCAGCACTCACTGGAACGTGAGGATTAGATTGGGAGGGAAAAGAGAGACATTATTTGTTCAAGTCTCAATATAAATTACAGTAGCTTTTGATGTAGCCACATAGAAGGTCTTCTTGAGAGGTTTGTATCATGCCATAGCGTCTATTTCAATTTTATTTCAACTTTACTTTTCAAAGGCATAGCTGGAAGGTCTGATACTATTAATGGGAAGACCAGCAACCAGTATAGTCTTTTGCAAGACCATTAATATCGTAAGTGGATGCATAAACTGATACTTTCATAATGTAAAGAAAGAATTTATACAGGGCAAGAATATCCTTCAGTGGCAGGGTAGCTGAATGTCCTTCAGATATTTTGACTCATAACATCTTGACAACATTCTTATCAAAAATGAAACCCATAGCACACTTTTGTCACGTTTAGTGTTGTGGGATTTTTTTCCCCCCTGCTTTTACAATTTTGCACCTGGAATGAAAACCAGGAGTGGAGTAGTTGTTTCTCTGCTCATCAGGGTAATATATATGAAGTCTGTGATAATACAGTGTTTTCTCATGTCTCAACAGGTTCAGATTTACATTCTTTTAGAGTCATTCTGAGGGCCTCAAAGTTCCACAACAGTATCATAATAAACTGTGATGGCATTAGTAGTTTATAAATGTTTCTTTGGTGGTTTGTAGCCCAGTGCACACGGAAACAAAGCATTTCCTGCCATGCAAGTCAGGCGCATAGGATCCTTTGTAATAAGGTCCTCCTCATCTTCTGATTCTGTCTTGACACATAGCTATACTTAGTCTGAGGCAGGAAATTAATACAGTGTCTACCATGATGCTAAACCAGGCAGCCCATAATATGTGAAAGTAACACCACTGAAGTGTTCTAGCTGTTTTATTTTAAAGAAGATAATGCTGTGATTGCTCGTAAGAGCAATTAGATGAATTATACAGGCCTCATGCACTAAGATCTACATGGCATGGCTAATTTTATTTACATCTTTCAGTATATTAATGGTGCTTTTCTTCAGTAATCTCCATTGTCTCTGGTTATAGGTTACAGTTCATTGCCTCTGGGGTCTTCACTCGGTGTCAAAGATAAACTCCAGTGAAATGTTTCTATTTAGGTTTAAATGTATGTTAGCTGAGCAGATCCTATCAGTTTAGCTCTGTCAGCTACTGCTGTGAAGTAGTGTATTGATTAGAAAGTATTGGTATTGAATTACAGGCTTAACATGGACTAAATGCTGTTGTGATCCTTCTTAAAGAGTGCTTGACCTCTGTGCTCGCTCCTGATGCGTGTACAAAAGCTGTAACACTGGACAACTTCTGGTCTGAACAGGAAACCCTTCCTCAACTGAAGCCCCTGAGAAGGCTGGTTGCTAAAGAACTAATTAGCACTTTGCAGTTAATATGATGCCTTTGCAAAGTGAAACAGGGCATCTGATCTTCAATGGCCTTGTCAGGTAGCTCAGGATTTTATATACTTTTATGGAGAAGTACTTTATCTCTGCCTCCGTTACTCAGGTGGTTAATGATAGTGGAAAATTAGAGAGATTAACACTGTACCTATTCAATTTGTTTTAGCCCAAACTGTACCTGAAGAACCTCATCTTAATTCCAGGTACCAACCAGCCAACAGTGCCTCTTGAGCACTTGTTTCCCCTCTGCATTCCCTCAAATTGCCCACAAAGTAGAATTCTGGTTTAAAAATCACATATTCTGTGGGTTTGCTTGCAAGAACACATCTGTATGTTTTGTGAGAGAATAGCTGTATAACTGCATGGCAAGTTACCACCAAGCACTGCGACCGCATATTTCTATCTGAAAATAAATATTTCTTTTTTGTTTTGTAAAGTGAGATACTGGCATCTACCATACCAGCATTTTTCTCTTTATACAGATGGAACTTAAAGCTTTCTTAATGAATGTGATGAGCAGGAAATTAACTGTGACTAATTGTCATCAACTTTATGTGCTGATTTATGTAAACGTTCCATTGTAGCAAGTCTGATACACTCTGAGAAGTGAACTGCCAAAAAAAAAAAAAAAAAAAGAAAAGAAAAAAACCCCAACCCCTTTATATAGCTGATTCTACTTAGCCTTTTGCTCATCCTGTTTTGCCAGAAGCCAAACCCATAATTTATAAATTTCTTGATAAAATTAGTCAAGACTGTCAAACTCCTGAATGTTTTCCCTGGTGGTTAACAAAGTTTTCTCAGTTCAATGTGTAATAGAAAAAAAGTTTTTCAGAAAATCAACTTTGAAGCTTTGAAACTTAAGCTCCTGACTTTCCAATTGTCATCAGAGATTCCATGGGATTTCCTTAAAGGTTGTGTGTGACTGTAGCTAGAGAGTTGGACAGGCAATTGCCATATTTCTAAAGATGATTTTTATTGCTGTGTGAGATGAAATAGGGATGATGTCAGCGCCATCGTAGTACTTCTATTACACACAACCTGACTGCAGGTAAAACAGCAAATTGTAACACTGCTTACAGTACATAAAACATTTTTCTAATTTAATTGGAAGAGAAGACATCACCAGGTGGATGATTACTGGCATGATGAGGTAGTGGGCTTTTTTCCTGATGTCTCTGATTAGTGTGATAGGATAATTGAGAGAATTTGTTTTGTTTTAGTAGCAAAATTCTTGCTCATTTCCGTTCTGTGCTTGTAGAAAGTAGTAAGGCAACAGCTATAAGTGACAGAGGCTTTACAGAGTTTTGATTTGAAGCCGAGGTGGTATTTTTTGTTCGGTGATCATATTCAATTAACAGTATCATTTTCATTGTCCTGCTTTGCTTTAATGAAAATACTCATCATCTTTTCTGTATGACATTCAAAGTTATATATAGAATGATTGATTAATGGTTGCTAAATTTTCTCTAAAGCTTTTCTGAAACTTCAACATTCGAACAAAAATAACTTTGAATAACTTTGAATATGAATTTCCAACTGGCTTGATTATAAATAAATAGTGGAGGGTGTCAATTCCAAGTTTGGAAGCATCAGTTTTTGCTTGTATAGGACCCACCACCGATTTTAGTCTTACCCTACTGCTCTTCCTGCTGAAATTCAAGGAAAAAGTCCATTAGAATGTCATCACAGTATGTATGTGATTAGGTAAATAGTTGCTTGATTTCACATGTTGTGGTACAGATGGAAAATTTGCAGGGAGTTCTAAGGACATTGAAGCCCAAATAAAGGACCTTCATGTTGGTTACTTCAGTGCTCCTCCCCAGAAGTTTACAGTTCGAGTTGCAGCTGACATTTCTTTAATTGGGCACATCCTAAGATTTCTGCTCAGGCTCTAGTCAGAGGTAGATCTGCCCTGGAAATCTGAATATATGACAGGTCTTGTGAAGTCTTATGGGAGATAGAAACCATTAGTAAGGAAATACTTAAATGCTGGGGCAGGTGTTCATAGATGAAGATTTTCATAGAAAAATATGAATGTTAAAAACCATTAGATTTGTATTTCCTTCAAGGATTATGTTGGATAGCACACCTAAAAGTAAGAATATTCTTTATTTCAATAAAAATATACCGTGAATATATATTTATGCTTTGTGATTTGTTTCTATCCATCTAAAGACAGTTTAAGCGATACTTATATGGGACCTTTTCTGGTCCTCTAGCTGGAACTGAATGCACTTACTGTGGAAAAAGAAAGAAAAGTCTTTTTATATTTTATATGAAATGCAATTGCATACACCTGATCATAGCTAATCAAAACATGGTTTTTTGTATTCTATTTTGCATAAATAACCTAGCTCAGTAAAAACACTGGTGGTGGAGATAGCATCTTGAAAACACTTAAAAGTATGCTGTACTGTGGTCTACAGCAATGACTGCAAATTTTGCAGATATCCCTGAGGTGGGTGGTTGAAAGGTAATTTGGGAATGTGTAGTGGCATCACCCCAGTAGCTAACAGTGCAGCAGAGTTCTAGGTAAGCTGGGCCAGTTCATGGTGCTTTTTGGCTCTGCTGCTGTTGATATAGGAGTGGGCTATCTAAAACTTAGCTTGTGTGATGGCTTTTCAAATTCTTTCCTATATCATTTGGAATTTAAAAAAAAAAAAATTCCTTCTTTTTCTCCACATATTAAGTTTCATGTTAGTTCTCCGCATGCTAGGTTAGCTTCCTGCTTACTTTCCCAGAAGACAGTGTTTAAATCTTGGACCCGCTGAAATCAATAGCAAAAACCTCTGCCTGTAACCAGAATTTCATTCTATAAATCTGCAGTGGAAAAGCAGGGGCTGCTTTTTGAGATTTGGTTAAATGAAATAGACTTTTAGTTTCAGTCCACTGCATGTGTGTGTATCTGTAAATTCCAGAGAAAGCTGTTTAATAGCATTTGGGTAAATAATGTAGCATATATTGTTGTATTCCTGTAGTGTGGTGTATTTCATACATGTCGTTCAATGAACAACACAAAAAGATTTACAGGTTTCTTCTTTTTGCTTCCTGGTAATTTGTTTGACAGCTGTACATAGATGCTGAACATAGAGTAGATTGACTGTCAGCATATCTTCCATCTTCTCTTGTGACAGGCATAAGCACGTATGACACATGGCCATACCTCAGTCATTCCCATTTACTTCAATACTACATTTGTTTTAATTGTTTTGGATCCTTTTTCAAATTAACAGCATTTCTGTAGTGCCTCTATGTTGGATTTTTTTTTTCCGCCCTTGATCACAACGAAGTGTCCAGAGAGTAAGTCAAATTAACCTATTAGTGTTCTGTGCAGCTATAACTTCTATAATTTTTTTCAGTAAGACTTTTTTGATTAGCTGCATCAAAGGTTTTTATCAGGTCAAGAAGCACTGTCTATGCCAGCTATTCTTTGTTCAAGGCTGTAGCAGCAGAGCTAGAGCATTGTGTTTCAACAAGGCCTCTTGAGGAGGATGAGCTTGAGAGAAAGCTGAAAGTGAAACCAAGGAAACTAAACTCTGTTTAAAAACAAAACTTGAAGTGATGGTTTTTATTTTATTTATTTTTGTCTCACTGAACAGTACTACTGCTTGATCCTAAATACACCATTATGTGGATGTTACAAACGTTTTCACTGGCAAGGGAGCTAAAGTTCCAGTGAAAGTCAAAGAAACACACACAGTTTTTTAAAGTCATCCCCATAATCTTTATAAATGTACCATTCACCATGCTGTTTTCCTCTCCAAATTCAAACCACAGTATTTTTTTATGCCTTTGAGAGCCTTCTCTTGCTACTTTTTAAAGCTGAAATTAAAGTTTCTTTGCTTGTTCTTGCAGCCAGCATTATAGATTTGGCTTTGTTATTTCTTTTCCATGTTTTCTCTCCTGTCTTCCATAGTCTTTTAAAATGCCAAATACTAAATTGTAAACTGGGAATAAGATATATTATGTAGATGTTTCTGACATGGCTTGTTTAAAATCATCACTCAGAGCAACACGTGACACGGTCGAAGTAATCTCATCAGTCTTGCAGGCTAGAACAAAATAATTATGTACAGGATTACAAATGTGAACCTATTCTCTCCTAGAATAGATTGAGTGCTCTACCCTTGTGCCGTGCTTTGGTCCCCCAGTGATGTCAAAGTGTCAGCAGTCATTAAGAGAAAACCAGTATTTGCTTATTCATTGAGAGACAAGTGTCAAATCTGTACTTTACTTAACAGTATTTTTTCTCCTTTAGCAGGAGGATGATTATTTCTCCTGTTCCTTCTTATTACCTTAGCTAAAGAAAACTAGCATTATTTTTAATATCATTATGCTGCATTTTCTGTTTGCTTTGCTAAAATACTTAATAACTATTTCAGTAAGCAGTAGATATTAGTAATGTAGCATGCATAGCAGTAAGCAAGGAAACGTTTTTTTTTTCCTACTTGTGCTTAGATTTTCCTAAAACAATGTTTTAGGAGAAAATGATGCATCTGATATTTTTGTAAATGCTTATAGATATAAGTTTTTATAAGGTAAGCACTTGGATTCCTGTTCTGAGCCCCAGGAGAGAGGAGCCCACAAAAAGGGCTGCACTGTAAATCCAGCAGAATAAAACTAAATAGCTATTTCTGTGGCAGAGGTCTGCTTTAATGAGCCTTTCTGTAAATACAGTTCTGCTGTCTTTCTCGAAACAGTCATCGTGTAAAAGTCTCAATTTCAAGACCGATTTTAGGAAATCACATTTTTGATTTTATGAACAAGAAAAGAGATTATTTAATTGTATGCTTTCTTTGTAATGAGGGTATCTGTAAATCTTCCTGTGATGTTTAAAGTGATGATTAATAAATAATGATCTTTGTGTTTTCATATATCATACCAATAGATGTAGCAGGTGTGATTCGTTTATGGCCACATGAATTTGCCACAAATATGCAAACCAATTAAGTTATTCTATTTATTGCCTATTTTACTGGGTTTGTTTTTCATTTTGCTTCCCTTTTTGCAATGTGATTACTGAAAATCAGGCTGACCATTCGTTTCAAATGTTTAATCTCTAGCATGTCCTGGAGCACAAACATTTTTTCTTGCAAGCTTTAATGGAATTAAATCTGTTAAATATAATTTTTCATCTTGCTGATACAACTGGGAAGTCTGTAGGTTTGTTATATGTATTGAGTCTTCATTTCTCTGAAGTGCTACTGCATGCTGTTGATTGCCACTGGAAATCCGTTGTGTGTTTTTCTTAGAGTAGTTCATACACATTCATTTATTTAACAATCTGTTGTCTTTCCTGTGTTTCAGTTTTCCAGTTTGACACCGAATTCTATATCAGTGGACTTGCGCCTCTCTGTGACCAGCTTGTTATACTTTCCTATGTTAAGGAGATTTCCGAAAAAACGGTAATTGTTTTTATGTTAAGAGTTTCTTCACGGCACTGAACTGCCCTGTGAGTTGGGCCTTAAACTAGTCACACAGATCTGATTATCTGTGAAAAAAATTGTAGTCTGCTGGTAGTGAACAGTGTTTGAAACTTCTCTGACATCTAAAATAAAGTCAGTGGAGGTGATGTTGAAGACTAATGCATTTACCTTTCAGAAGTCCTATCTGGGTTCCTTTATTTCTTGCAGAAGGCAGAGAAGGTCTCTAGAAAGTCCTTCTCTTTCCTTTTTCCTTCCTTTCCCCCCCTTTCTCCTTTTTTCTCCTTTTCTCTTTTTTCTTTCTGCTATTTCTGCATCCGAAGAAACGAAAAATCTTTGTGTAGCCATCAGAGGGGCTTGCTGGTACTGAGAGTAGTGGAGTTGATCAGCTCAAGCAATAGAGTCACTGTGGCGGGGCGGGATGCATGATTGCGCACGAGTGGCATCATTGTCTCCCTTGCTTCCAAGACCTTTAGTTGTGTACACCCAGATACGTGCGTAGATAAGTAGGAATTAGAATTCATGTCAGCTGTTTTCACTGCGCGCGGGCGAGTGCCGTGTCTGTCTCCAGCATTTACTTCATATTGCAAATAAAAGGCGAGGCAGTGGAGGAAATCCTTGAAGTTGCGGTGTGAGAATGGCAGATGCTCTTGATCATCTCTTTGATAGTATGTCTGCATTAGACAACCATCACCATAGTAACCTTAAGCAACTGGGTGCACAAGTTGCTAGGCAATGAAATGCTATAGGTTCAAACAAACGCTCGAGCCTGCTGAAATCAATAGGGTTAGCTTCTAGCTCTGCTGCAGGATGTCAGATTATTATTTCTTTATTTATATTAAGGAGAAAAATAATGTTACAGCAGTGTTTCCCAAGAGAGCCAGTACAGTAGTCATCTAGTGCAGGAGAGTCGATGAAAGGAAAGGAGGCAAACAAATGGGATAAGGAAGGGGGAGGAAAAGGTGGGTTGAAATGCTAGGGAGCAAGGAAATTGGGAAGCTGCTGTTAATGAAGAAGTTGCATGGGAAAGGAGCTAGTGTAAAGGAGGTAGTGACTGGTAAAGGTTAAAGTCATTCTAACTGCTTCAGGAAAGAAAGATGGAAAGATAATTTCAGGTGATATAATGGTAATAGAACACAGGAAAGAGATTTTTTTTTTCATGTGTTTGCTTTTCATTAGCCTTTTAAACAAACTTCGAATGTTGGACTTTGATAACTTCTCAGTCCTCTGGGTAACTCTAGCAAAGAAACAAAAGTACTGTCCTCCCTGACACCATGTCCGTGCCCTGGTGTGGTGGGAAACCCTCTGTTAGTGCCTTGGCTCCGTGAGCCCGAGCTGCCTGCGCTTGCTGCAGAAGCGCTGCTTGCTGCAAATGTTGTTGGGTTGTGAGGAACACTGTTCTTCCTACGCTTGATTTCACAGCTTTCAAATGACGGCTTCCTGCGTGTTACAAATTGGATCAGAATTGAACTCATGGCTTGCTTCCTGCCCCCACCCCAGAACAGTTAAATTGAAATAAACCCCAAGTGGAGCTGCTGCCAAACGGCACATGGGTAGGCTAGGGCTGTGTAAACCCACTTTGTATGTTGTCTTGCTCTTTCATTCTGTATTTTGTTGTAATTTACAGCCAGAAGTAGAAAATGGGGGTTGTCTTGGACCTTGACTTAATTAAAAATACAGCTAGTTGAAGACAGTGGTTTCCTTGAAGACGAAAATCCATCATGTCATTTTACCATAACCACCTACATTACACTTGAAAGTTCATGTTACTCGAAGATCATCAGCACATCAAGGGTTTTAGATTATTCTCAGATTGATTCTTTCCCTACTGCCGCTAGACACTTAAAAGTAAAAACTTAAACACCAGCTAAAAAAGAAAGTTCATCACAGTACCAGAATATAATTGCTTCACAGATCTCTGTCCTTCAGGGCCTGAACCCAGCTGAGAATGCGTCTTAAATTGTCCGTTGTTGAATGCAATGGTTGATGATCACCTGTGTGTGATAGCCCTGAAAACTTCTGTGACCGAGAGCAGAAAAACAGTGAGCAAACTCAGGGTAAGGGTTAGACCTCTGTCTTGTCTAAACCTCCTTCTCTGCACTGATCTGTTCAAGGGAGGCAAGCCAAGAGTAGTTTCTTTGTGTCTCAGATGCGATTACAGCTACTCTGTGGAGCGCGACTTTGCGACTTGGGTGGTTTGCAGTGAGTACCCAGCGCACAGTACTGGACCTTTGGGAGTGTTTGCAGCTCTTCAATTTCACCCTTGCTTGTAGATGACCATCCCTTGGCATTGTTAAGGTAAATCATGTAGGATGCAACTAAGATGTTGATGTTTTTCTAGGAAGTGGAGTGTTGTGCAAGGCCTAGACTGGATATTGTACAACCCCTACCTGAGTCCTGTGAAGAGATCTCTTCTGATGCACTAACAGTACGGGGATTTCAGGAAAATGAATGTAGAGATTATCATTTAGGTAGGTGTTCTTAATATTGTTTTATTTTGTTTTCATAACTTAATTTAAAAAGACTTGATTTGGGAGGACTCAGCCTCCTTTTTAATTTTTATGACATCTCCTTGAATAACTATCTATAACTGTTTATGACACGGAAGTGTTAAGTGGAAATCCACAAGAACCAGTCACATGAAAGAAGACAGACATGCATTTTTAAACATCATGATTTGTAATGCCATCTGTTAACTCAGACACACTGGGGAAGCCAGAAATACAGATTTCGTGTAATGTCCAGTATTGGGGAAGGCAGTATCTTTGGAGATATATTCAGCATGTGACCCACAGGAGCTCTTGTGTCTCCTTGGACACCAAGGGCTTCAGGAATAGCAAAATGAGTAGTACAGTGTCTGGAAAAGCTGCTTTAGAGACAAAGATGGAATAAATGTCATTTCAACAGTGAGATGCACCTGAATTGACTTAAAAGGGACACACTGGTATTTAGCTTCCTGGTACTGACAAAGCTGTTTGTATATAGCAGACTCTACAGTGGCAAAATGTGATGAACAGAAACTGGAGTTGGGCAAGTTCAGCCTAGAAGATACGTTTAATTATGTAACAGGCAGGGAGATTAAGCCCTGGCACAACATATACCAGCGTGTTTTAAATAAGATGGGATGGTTTGCTGGTGTATGTGTTGTAGTTCAGAAAGATGAATGGCAAAGCTGATGCAGAATTCCTTGGTGAAGCTTATATAGCCTGTGTTATACAGAAGCATTCCTTCTGGCTTTTAAAATCCATGAATCTGATTTTTAAGCATCTTCTCTGGCAGCACGCTTCAAATCATAGGCTTGGCAGGCCTCTTTGTGTACATCAATGCCCTTAAGCCACTAGAAATACAGCACATCTCCTCCTGATGTCCAAAACATCTCTGCTGCTATCAGTAGCATTGGGATTTCTTTATACCTGTCCCTAAGCAGAACATTCGTGTCCACGGTTGTACTTTTATGCTTAATGAATGTTCTAGTTAATCTAACAAGTCTAAATTTTTTGTCTGGCTTTAAAACAAGCATTATTTTGTGAATTGCTTATCAGCCTAGGAGGGTATTTGTATGCGTGTATAGATATAGATAAAGAATGGGGGATGGTTTTCTTTCCTGTACCTACAAAATATTGATGATATTTCTTCATGGATTCTGTGGAAATAATAACTATTCTGAACAGTCATCTTCTGCGTTTGATTTTACCTTTAAGTACGTTTTTACTTTGAGCTTACTCAAAAATAAAGGCTTATGGTATAAGCAACTGCATTATACATATAGCCTTAACTTATAGCATTGCAAATGCATTGCTGTAATGATGTGCTGTGTCCCCAGGGGTTATGGCATCTATCATTTATGCTTTTGATGGCCTTGACCTTGATGGGGAGGATAAGTTTATTGCAGGCTATGTAGTGTAATAGTCCTCTAAAAGTATAATAATGTGTTCTAAACCATCATAAAGTTTACACATAGTGTATGAATCAGAATTTGCAATAAGCTATAGTGATTTTTTTTTTTTAAGATATTTTGCCATTTAAACCAGTTTTAATTTATTGGAGAATACAGCTTCCCAAACAAGCATGTTCTACAGGAGTAGCCTTGCGATCTTCCTTGCATCTCCTCTTTTTAAATTCCCCTCAAGGGTGTAATAAAAAGCAGGGCTTTACTTAAGGAAAATATAATAACAATAATAAAACTGTGTATGCATTTACAGAGTATTCGGAGGGTGAATCACTTTTTTACATCATCAGCCCAAGAGATGTGGTTGTGGCTAAAGAGCGGGACCAAGATGACCACATTGACTGGCTTCTTGAAAAGAAGAAATACGAAGTAATTTTAACAACAGTCTTTCCTTCAGGCTATTCTGATTTGGAAATTGGAGTGGGATGATGAACTTTGCTAGGTCATTTGGATTGGATAGTTCCTGTTCCTACAGTCATTGACTAAATGCTTGCAAAGCGTAGCAGTTGAGTGTACATCTCTCCAACTCTCTGGAGAGCTAGTCTTCCTACTGAAACAACTCATCTGAATTGCACCCAAGTGAGGGAGCTGGATTAGATGCTGTGAATACTGCTCTCAGCATCAGATATGAAGTGTATTAGCTGTCACTGAAAATTATTAAAGCTGGTTTTTGGCTTTACAGTGGCATAACAGTTAACTAATGAGCTACATGGGTATTTTTCTAGATCTATTCCAACCAAAGAGAGAAGGAAAATGGAGTTGATGGGCAATATTAGATTTCTCCAATTCTCTATTGTTTCCACTATAAAATGAAAAGGTTATGTTAAGGTACTGTGCATTGCTTTGCATTACTTACCTTCAGAGTTGAAGCTTTTAAAAGTAAAATAATATGGGCTCGAACTGTAGGTATCGGTGCTGAAAGTAGTGTTGCTCACAAAAAAGCAAAGCCAATATTAAAAAACAAGGGTATACAGCTCCCTTGGAAAAAAGCAACTCAGTATTTGGATGTGTAAATAAATAGTGGTGTGTTTAAGCATGTATATCTAAATGCCTTAAAATAATAATAAATTCTTACAGACAATATCAACATGCACCCAATCTTCTGGATTCTGATGTCCTGCGGTGAATGACTTAGAACACTTGTTATGGTGCATAACAAAGTAACTTGCAAATCCTTATTTGCATATTATTTGTTGGACCTCCATTATAAAAAAAAAAAACAAAAAACAACAAACATGGGAAAGCCATTCAGCACATACTCCTTTTGTTAATGCAATCATGATATTCCTCATGCAGATTTGTTTAAATCCTTGAGGATGCTTCTGCATGTGAATAGCAAACTCATATGATGAGCACAGGTTTGCAGTTTATGTAAATCACAGTATTTGGTCCCTGAAGATTCCAGTAATTTGCAAGTGACAGCTGTGTATGTGCCTTTGCGAAAGCCATTCAAGGTAGTAGATAGCTTGGATGTTATGATGTATGTTAAAGGCTTCAATTTGTTTGCAAAAGCGCTAGCTTTGTTTCTGTACGTTTGAAAGAAGTAGAAGAATGGCAAATGACACTTAAATTTAAATCAGTCTGACTGAAGAAGACTTTTGGGCTGGGGAAGTGAAAGGCAGTCTTCCCCCACCCCCTTTCCTGATGATTTACTTTCATAGGTTTTCATAGTGAAGGGTTCTCATTTGAAAATGATCCAATGTGATTGCATTGTCTGTTTCGTTGTAATCTTGCAATTTGATCCTAATATAGTAATGTGGAGTGAACCCAGATGGAAACAAAAGTAGTTTTCTCTTTGGTTGACTGCTTTTGTTTGAGTATGAATTCAAAGCTGTTCATCCAACCATGGCATTAAAAATTCTAGTGCTTCAAACACTCTGCTCTGAAAAATAGTTGATTTATGCAGTTCTAGAGCTTTCTGTATTGAAAGTTTGTGTATTTGGCTAGTATCTCTGTTTTCTACTTTTTGAATATAGGAAGCTTTGATGGCAGCTGAGATTAGTCAGAAAACCATAAAAAAGCACAAGATTTTGGTAAGTCTCAAAACTTCTATTCAAGACAAAATATCTGATTTCTTTTAGAATGCTGTGAGATGGTACAAATACATTCCCTGTTCTGTATTGCACCAGACAATAGCTGTTAGGCATACTCCAACTAGCTTTCGATTTCTTGGTTTCAGCTGCAGAACAGGAATGTTACTATGTGAAACACAAAAGTATCTGGAATATATGAATGTGCTATTGACATTAAAAAGAAGAGAATTCCATTTCTCTGATTGCTGATAGGGTTTGTGTTTGCTTTTATATTTGTATTAAATTTGCTGCTATTTCAAGTTACACACAATATTGCAATATTAGAGATTGGGGGGGGAGTGACACATTTCTCTTTAACTTTTACTTTGTACATGTGACAGGGTTTTGGCAGGAGTTTAAAAGGTGCAATTGGAAGACCTTTAAATGCTATTGAAATTCAGCTGCAGTTTCACATCTAATTCTCTCATGTTGCTTTGCAATTCTTATTGTTTTATATAGTTAAGCTCCTTTTCTTCTGCATTTTTTCCCATGTTTATAGTCCCTTCACAGAGCAACAAAGGGTATCAATGTTTAAGACAAAAGGGGGTGGCAGGGAAATGTAAGTCGCAAAAGCATCCCTAATTTTAGCTGTTTTTTGTTTAAATTGACCTCAGCATGAATATGTTAGTATTTCATTAATACTGCTTTTTTTTAAAATGGAAGTTGGTATTTAAGTACAAAGTGTTAGAAGATGTGTTTAATTTTTAACCAGATTACAGCTATAATGTACACACTGTATATCAGTATGTCTTAAAAATTCTTTTCTTCTTTTGTCGTCCAGAAGTTGAGTTGAGACCTAATGGCATGCCATAACCCATCACAGAGTTTGTATGATTTAGTTGCTCTGTGACCCTTGCAAAAGATGTAAAGAATTCTTAAGGAGGTCCTACCAATCCACTGGGGGGGTGAAGGGGGGAAAGCTTTTCTTTCAGCTTGCAGAAATTTGCTCCTCTAGGATGAAATTCACTGTGGGTCTATACAAGCAGAGTTGTTGAGTGTTTGGTCTCTAATGCAAAACCTACAGAATGTGTTGAGGGAAAAAATGTTGACATCAAGCCCTAAGTGAAGGATTAGTGGTAGAGGGGTTTAAAACAACTCACGCTCTCACTGCCCAGCAGCGATCAGATCAATGACACCACACTCACCACCTGACAAGTCTGGTGGTCTTGGGGATTTTTGAGGCTGCATTAATGATCGTTGCCCCCCTGCACCTCTTGAGCAGAATTCAAGGGTCCTAAACAGCCACAGAACTACAGCTCCTTTCCTTATACTGTCTTCTCTGCTCACTGGGGAGCTGGCCCACAGGAGAAAGAGGCTGCCAGAAATCTTCATTCTTGAGGATGGTGAAGTTGAAAATGCGAAGGTGGTTCCTATAATGGAATGAAATCCTAAAAATCTGATGTATGTGCATGATTTTTTTTTTTTTTTTTTAAATTCTGTAGTAGATTGACCAACTGAAGTTGCTGGATACCTCTGTTCATATTCTGCTCCGCTCAGCACTGTAACTGATATTGATCAAAAAAATTATATTGTACCTCAGAAGACCAAATGTTTATTTTTACAGGAAACAAGGACTTCTTTTTCATTGTTCAGCTGTACAGGGCGCTTTGCTTTGCCTTTTTTTTTTTTTTTTTTTTTTTTTTTTTTTTTTTTTTTAAATAAAGTTATGTGATTCTTAATTTATGCAGTGGGTACACTGGACTGTGTTGACCTTGACACCCATATTAAGATTACAGCAGAAGGCATGGCTGGTTTGCCAAAATTTTAATATATTAAACTCCTACCAGAAAAATTTTACAGCAGACCTGTGTGATAAACTCTCGAGGAGGGGAATTTAGTGTGCAATAATATGTAATAATCTCGCTAAATTCTAGGTAATTCCTTTACTTTATGGAGCAGCACTAGGATTTATATTCTCAACTAATGTTTTTCCCCCCTGCAAACTTTGTTGACAAAGAAAGTGTCTCTTACAGTAGCCAGTGGTTTTCTTTTTGAGATAACTAATGCAAGCACTGGCTGATCAGCTGTGTGTTTTGAGCAATCCTTAATATGTAGAGGTGGCACAGTCTTCTCAGTGTCAGGGAGGTTAAAAGAATTATTTAAAAGAGCATTTTAATTTGAACCCATGAGTGGTGTCTGCAAGTATTTTGTGTTGTCTCTTCTGCGGGCCCTACATCAAAAGGAGAAAGGACATCACGGTGTCCATTTAGGGTCTGGTGCTTGACTTAACAGCAGTGCATACAGCTGGAATGGTAGTTATTGTGGCAGTCAGGTGTTGACTTCCACATTTTTATATCTAATTCTTTATTTTTATTCCCTTTAGGACATCGGTTTAGCCTATATAAATCACCTAGTGGAGAAAGGAGAGTATGACCTGGCTGCTCGGTAACTTACTATTAAAGATTTTCTTTGCTGGCTAAAGTGTGTCTGTGTGAGGGAAAAAGCAGAAGCAAATAATCGGTTCTGAAGTATTTTGTGATGTTGATTTTCTATTGTTCTGGAGCTCGTGAAGTTTCAAAACATACAGATATATTACTGTGCCCTATATTTTCTTGCCTCTAGTGACCCGAAAGTTAACTGTAAACTTTCTAAAGTTTAACTAAAATTGAGACATAAATATTTTTGAAAGTCAGCCTTGATTTTTTCAAAGTCAGACAAGATCTTCAAAATGGAGGGTTTTTTTGGATGTTGATAATCTAAATTTATTACTGTGTCATTGCACCTAAGACCATCAGAAAATAATTTGTGGTTACATGGGTGTAAACAAGAATGTCAAATATGGTTATCTAAAGTAAAGATCAGAAAATGCCTAAGATTTGTTTTCATGTATGTGTAAGCGTAAGCATATCTTTTTAAGTGCTCAGTTTTTCTCATCTGAGGTTTAAAAACTTTACTCATAAAGCTAATATGGCCCTAATGAATAAGGGTGGATGCATAGTAAACAGTTAAGTCCTCTTGGCTGCAACAAAATTGTAAGATCTGAAAAGATAGCGTACCTGGCGTGCTCTGCTTGAAGCAGTGATTGCCAAAGCAAGTCAGATTTGAAAGTATCTTGATAGGGAGAAGAAAGAAGAAATGAATCCTTGCAGTAATGCTGTCATATTTGTATTATCCTATGTACCTACTTTTGTTCTCTCGCCTTTCATCTTCTTTCCAGAAAGTGCCAGAAAATTCTTGGCAAAAACACAGAACTTTGGGAATTTGAAGTTTACAAATTTAAAGAAATAGGTCAGCTTAAGGTAAGTTAATTTCTGTCTCTGCATTCAAGTAATTGGCATGCTCTATTTCCCGTATGTTTTGACCAAGAATCTGAAGGGTTGCATTTAATGGCCCTAGCGTGGTAGCAGGATACAACTCTGCCCTTGAAATTCCTGCCCCAGATCTCTAGTTGTAGTCTGTCTTTCAGGTTGATGTGTGTATGTTAACAGGCCTCCAAACAGGGTTGGAGGCATAGCACATCCAGGTACTCAGCTACATATTTTTAACTTGCTGACAGCCCCCAGGTAAAAGACCCACCCCCAAGACTTTTGCTTGCAAAGATGCTCACAGCTAACTATGTATTTGCCATTTAATTTTCACTCCCTTCCAGTATGTCCTGAAAAATCCTACCCCAACTCTTAAGGAAAATAACCTCTGTGGGTGCCAGCCTTTCCTGAAAATCCAGGTCCCTTGCAACAAAGCCACAGCTTTAAGTGTTAAAGAATAGTAACATTGCAAAGCAACAGGGAAAACCTGTGCCATGTGCTAGGAATGGTGGCAAGAAAGAGGAGCAGTCTGCCCGGTCTTGTGTTTTCCCTGGTCGTGAGCCAGCTGCCATAACAGTACACGTTTAACATGAGATTCGCAGTTAATAAATTGCCCAGGACATGGGGCTATAGCGCTGTCACTGCCACACCAGTAGAAAACATTATGCACACTCCCTTTGGTAACACGTGTACGTTTATTTCTGAATTTTATGTCTTCCTATTCAAACTCAATGAGCCTAAAAGGACATATTATTAAGATCTCACAGCATGCAGTCCCTTGCTGGTTTTGAGCTGTTTAATTCCGTTCAAAGAGCAAAAGTGTTTCACCGTTATGGTTTTCAGAAATGTCTGGCTTTTGTTTTAGAGCCACTCCAGTGCAAGAACAGCCTTGCCTTTTCTGTGAGTTCTTAGTGGTTCGGTGCACACTTTGCCACCTTGGAAGATCAAATCTCATGTTTCTGTCTCTTTATTTCAATCCAATAAAGGACCTGAGTGCAAGTACAGGTGAAATTTTGATACACTGTTTCTTAGTCCTTTTGGGTTTATTTTTGTTTTCAGATGCAAGTGTCTGGAATGGATGTTTTTCTTGTCTCCACTTCTGTCATCCAGCAGACTGTAAAATATTAAAATATTTGCAGGTATGCTGCAAAAACATCTCTGCTAAATTACTGCCTTTCTAAACAGTTGGTTGTTTTCAGCCCCTTGAAAGTGGACTTAGAAAAACATAAGATGCAGTCCGTTATGTTATTCAGTTTCAAGCTGCCGTTCTAGAAGATACCTTTATTATTTTACTATTATTTCAACCACATATAACCTTTCCCAACTTCCTAAAAATACCTGAGTATCATAAAGGTTGAACTGAGTTAAGCCAGATCTAAATGAAAGGGTTCTTGTAATGCTTGAGATCACTTGTATGCTATTTGGAGTTTTTACCTATTTACCCAGCCAGTGGGTATTAACACGGTAGTGTAACTGGGCTATAATGGCTTGAAGCCCTGATGAGGAGACTTGTGTTTGAGATGTGGAGCCAAAGTGTATTTCAAAATGGAATTTTCTTAAACAATTTGCACTGTATGTAAGTGGTTGCCTGAAATCTGACATTTCCAATCAAACATGATTTGCCCGTAACTAAGGTGGCAGTAAAGCTAAAGGTTTAAACTGTCCTTCCTGCAGAGGGACTAATTAGTGATACCCCAGTCTCAAAGCCTGTGGGGTGAGTGTCTTCTTTGTTTGCTTGTGGGTTTAGGGATTTTTTGTGTTCCATACTAAAATGTCCTGATTGGTTACCAGAGGCTGCAGTTTGCTATCTAGACGTCTCTTCAGTGAATGTCCTCTAGCAAACCTTGTTATGGCAGTTTCAAGATTTTGGAGCCTTGTAACGATCAGCTGCCTCCCTCCTCCTGCGGCGCTGGCTTGGTGGAGTTACGTGCTTCTGCTCGAGTTGCTTCGGTGTAAAATGCAATGTCTCAGCTCAAACAGCTGACGGTGGTGGATTCGAAGCAAGGTGCCAAACTCTGCGAGTGCTGGCCGGTGTGGCATGAGGGCTGCACTCCGTTCTGTTGTCTCTGCTGTGTCAGCAGTGACTTTTGGCGGGGGTGCAGGACAATCAGCTAGCGGCAGCAATGCTTTAGTGACCAAAACGTTGGCTAGAAGACACATGAAAGACTTCGCATTATCTAGACAGCCTCTTTCATCTCACAGGAATAAATAATTGTGGTTTGGGCTTATTGGTGAGATGTTTTAAGCTGTCTCATGTCAGCTTTTATATGGGCTTCCTTGTGTATAGCCCAGCCTTATACCTATTGATCAAAGTCTAAAAGCAGGTCTTAAGAAGAAGCAAAGGAAGAAAATATACCTGTGTACAGTAGCTTTTTTTTTATTATTATTTAAAGCCTCTTTCGCCACACGATTCAGGCATTGATACAGAGGCATCCTGATTCTGGAGCTATTTTGCCTGACCTTGCTCCTTAACTACTGCTTAAAACTAAAATAGGAAGAGTCTGTAACCTCCAGCATGGGTCTTGGTTCACCTTTGTGCCTAGGCTTAAAAATAACTTGGCTGCTTCTCAGTCTTTGCTGAGCACAGGGGCCAAACTGCAGGAGGTGGTTGTGCTTTTCCTTCGAAGCAGCAGGACTTGGGGCAGGAGAGATTTCCTTCCCGCGGCAGCCTGGCCCCCACGCACCGAGGCCCGGCCGCAGCCAAGAGTCACAGCAAAAGCCTGTGGAGCGAGGCCGTTGGTGTGGCAGGTGGCAGGAGGGTGGAGAGGGGGAATGAAAAGAGCCGTTGGAGCAGGTCCTCTGCCTTCACGTCGCCAGCTGACGTCCACCTTGCTTGCTTTGTGGTCCGAGAGGCTTTTTTGTGAGGGGGTCAGGAAGATGATTCCCCAGGGCAGCTGGCGAGACCGTGCCCTGAGTTAGCTATTAAATCCTGTGGCAGACGGTGGGAGCTGATGTTGGCAGTGTGCTACGTTTCAAAGACTGGCCAAGCTCAAACAGTGTGGGGAGAGAAGAGGTCTCCTGTGAGCAATGAAGTTTTAATTTTTGCAAAGCCATTAACAATGCTTTTTTAATTGGCCTTTTATTTTTACCTCCTTTTTCAGCTACAGACGAAAAACTTTAATGAAATACGCAACTTTGGCAAATGTTTTGATTTAAATACTAGGGGAATTCATTGTGATTGCTGTCTGTAAAACTGCAAAAAAAAAAAAAAAAAGTAGCAAGATGTTATTTCTCCTGCTTTGTTCAAGCAACTTCAGTAACAAAATGCTACTGTACCACGTGCCATTAGTGGGCAACAGGCAACATCTCTGAGTGTTCGGAGGAATTTCATCAGTGTTGGGCCTTCACCTACAAACCCCAAAGTCCCAACACAGCTGGTAGCAGTAGGGTTTATTTTGGCAGGCGATACTAACCTTGGCCTCTAGTTGCATGCAACAGTAGTGCTAATAAGATGCTGAGCTGAAATTCCAGGGTATGAGCTGATTCATTCTGGCAGGTTCTCGTCTCCTGCCTGCCAGAATGCAGTTCCTTAACACCTCCTGTAGAGCAACAGACCACACGCCTTCACCCTTTCCGTGGGGAGGTATATTCTCAAATTATTTTTCATTTGGGTATGTAAAAATAGCTGGCAAAACAGAACTCCTCATAAAATGTAGTGACCTCGCAGTAAGTCATAAATCAAAAGTACACATTTTTCATCTAATGAATGCTTATACCTTTTCACAAGATATAAGACCAAGACTGGACAAAATGAATTTTGAAAACTTTCTTCTCTTGAGTGGTCTTTAATGTATTTTATTTTCTAAATGACTAGCAGTAAATATTCAGGCTTCTTTAAATGCAGTGGCTGATACTCACAAACTAGTATCCTACCACCTATTTTCCTAATTAAAATGCTTTCAGGTAAGTAATGCAATTCCAGTGTGTGCAATCCTAAAGTAAATAACTTCAGGATACTGCTTACAAGTATGAATATGCAGCACTTCAAGTGTTTACCAAGAGCCACACTGTGCGTGTAACTTTGGCTTTTTGTTTCACAACTCTTTCTATCATCAGTGTACCAGGATGTTACATGTCATTCCCCTTCTGACACTTTGTTCTCTTTGTTCCTATAGGCAATTAGTCGTTACTTGCCCAGACGGGATCCAGTTTTGAAACCTCTGATCTATGAGATGGTCCTGCATGAGTTTTTGGAGAGTGACTACGAGGTATTGTAGCCTGACGTGTCCACAAGTAATCATTACTGCCAGCCAGACCCCCTCGGCAATGTAGAATTCTGACAGCAAATTCTCTGTTGTAGTCAGATTATCAATGGACAGTTTTACAATAATGAAAAGATTAAAAAGATGAATTTTGGTTTTGTTTTTAAGAGAATAAATAGAATGTTCTTCAGAGCACGCAAACACTATGAGATTGATTATTTTTTTATAAATAGTTATTTTTGGTTTGTTTAATGTAGCATAAGTGGTTGAGGTGCTGCCCAAAGCCCACAGCACCTGAAAGAGACTCAGCTTCATGAATCTTAATAAACATTGCCCTAAGAAGGAAAATCTGCGTTCTGCACTGTGCATGTCTGTGGGCACGTAAAAGTGACTTAGAGGTGAAGCACAGCAGGTATCATCTCGGAGGCTTAGCTTAAGCTTTGATGTTTTGAAATGTTCCTTAGGCAGTTCTTTCTATTTCTGTTACCATCTCTTATACTTTTAGGGGTTTGCAACCTTGATAAAAGAGTGGCCTGGAGATCTCTACAACAACACAATCATAGTTCAAGCTGTAGTGGATCACCTGAAGAAAGATCCACAGAACAGGACTTTGCTCAGAACGCTTGCAGAATTGTGAGTACAATTTTGAACTCCTGTTACAAAAAGTAAGCTTGAAGTAGTGTACTATAGTTTGTAAATATTTACCTCGCTGTCTTAAAAGAAATATCTGCTTTGTTGCAATTTGCAGAGCATCGGCTTTTTCTCCTCTCCACTCTGCTAACTGCACAGCTTATCAATTTTTTTCCCTTCCTTATAAAGTGTATGCTGAGTATGAAAGCAAAGAGTTTATTGTAAGATTGGATTTTCTATTCCTCTTTCCAAAGCAAATAGCTAGCATTCCTCTTTATGCTGTCAGAGGAAGTCTCTTTTGTGATGCGTGCATTTCAGAATTACCCACAGGAAAATAAAATGGTATATTTTACCCACTATTTCAGAAGTAGTATATTTACGTTTACTATGTGTCTGGAAATATGTGACTGGAAAATGTGCCAAAACTGATCTGGTTCTAGGCTACTTCGTACAGGGATAAAGCTGTTGGGTTTTCTCAGACTGATTCCCATGTTATGTTCCTTTCATACTGCTTTTTTGAAGAAAGCAGAGCTACTGTCTATTGCTATGTTATAGTCTGTCCCAAAGTTTTAACAGTGTTTTTAGCTCTGAAGAGAGTTCCAATTAGTTTCCAAAAATAGAAAAGCTAGCATTTTGTGTGGCTTCCCCTGTGGTTTGAAAACGGGAAAATTAAAATGTAGAGGACCACAGGTCAGAACACAAATGTGGTGGCTGATATAAATAGAGTTGATATTAATGTTGCCCAGTGTTTTATTTCTATTTAACAAAAATAAATCATAGCAACTATTTAGGTACTTATCACATCAAATAGCATCCTAACAGGCTTTACATCCTAGAGTTTATTTATATTTTCCTTCATAAGTGATTTTCCTACACTTAGATATGTAAGATCATGTGTATTATGTTTTTTATCAGGTATACTTATGACCAGCGCTATGGCAGAGCCCTAGAAATTTACCTAACTCTGAGGCACAAAGATGTCTTCCAGCTGATCCACAAGCACAATCTTTTCAGTTCTATCAGAGACAAAATTGTTCTGCTCATGGATTTTGATTCGGAGGTATGGTGATCTTAATGATTTTATATTCACTTTCCACTAGAGATATTTTAACAGATTAAAAATAAATGAGCTAAAGATAGTGTTGAGTAAACACAGAGAGAGTGTGTTTACTGTGTATGCATACATTCTGAGGTAAGGAAGATGATGTTTGCCTAGACTGCAAAACAGTTGACCCAAGGATGATTTTTTTTCCTTTGTATTTCCATTTGAGTATCACTCACAGTGAGAAGAGTGCCAGGTCCAAGATCATTGTTATGATTCTCAAGTAGACTTTCACGATGATACTCTTTCTGCATTTCTAATCATATAATTCTATTAAATAAGCCAAAGAAGGGAGGCAGTGAATTTATTGTGAGGCATGTGTTAAATGTACTTGCCGCTTTTCTTTCACTGCAGTCAATTAATCTGCTTCTCAAAGTTTGAAAGGATATTAACCTAAATTCCAAAAATCAAGAAGTGTGCATTTTGTGCTGAATTCAATCTTCTTTCTTCCCAGCCGGCTAGAAAACCTCAGCAAATGAATTTTGGTATGATCCTTGAGGGGAAACCAAGTAGATCTGCTCTTTTTTCAGTGCAGTGGTTGTTTAGCTAAAATACGGAGCCATCTGTACCAAAGATGATAATCTTTGGTTTGCCCATACTAAACTACATGGGGAAAAAAAAGAGTATAGTTATTTTTTTATTAAATAAAGTAAATCATATTAGTAATCTGTGGGTTTGCATTTTTTGAAAGTGAAGCAAAGTTTGCTCTTGTCAGAGTAAGCAGCACCGGAATCTTGGTGGCCACTCTGCCTACTTGGATGGTCTAGTCTTGTGTTACGGTATTGGGGTGCAGACAGGTTGGAGGAGTCCAGTGATAAGTCGAGTTGTGTGTTTCTTATCCAGCCATCGCCCTGCAGTTCCCTTTTGCAATGGGACAAATGGTGTTTCTACATCATTTGGTAGTGGCCGCCTGTGACCCATGATTCGATGGGCATACTTCACCTGCAGTATAAGTGCACAGTAATGGTTGCTGTTAGCGCGGAAATTTAGGAGTAGTATTCTGGAAGGGTACATGATGTGTTCTCCTGTAATGCTGTGCTGTTGGGGAATGCCGATGTTATGCAAACTTCTTTCTGAATTACTGTTGCTGAAAAGAGTGGGTCTGCAATATCCATCTGATACCCATCAGTGAACAAGTGCAATACTGTATAGAGTGTGAGAAAACGTGTGTACCTGTTGCTTAGCTGTGTTATCTTTCTTTACTGTAGAAAGCAGTAGACATGCTTTTGGATAACGAAGATAAAATTTCGGTGAGTATAACAAGTTCATGGCATGGCATGTCCAGTCCACTTCCTTCAGTCCTGTAAATGTGATGTTCGTCACTCGTTTGCTATAATCTGTTGGATTTTATTTTTTTTCTTTCAGATTGACAGAGTCGTTGAAGAATTAGAAAACCGGCCTGAACTACAGCACGTGGTAAGTATTTCTGTATTCTCTTAGTTTCAAGTTGAGCTGAATAAACTCTTTGCTGAGCATATCCTTTACAGATATGGTTATCCTATCAAAGTGCACATAACACTGAAATGTCATAAATCATCAGAGCCAAAGTGGCTACTTTTGCTAACCCATTTTTTTAACATGGCCATAACATTCTTATAATAGTAAAATAATTTTAAAATGTGTACCTCTGAGAACTTTATAACATAGTGCTTACTCACTAACATACCATGAGGTACTCCTTATGGCATTGCAGACACTTGTCTTCTCTGGTCAATTAGTTCTTGCTTGTATCCCTCCTCTTTCCCTACGCAAAAATGAGGTTGGATGGTGGGTGCAACTCAGAAGCACATTTTGCTGATCCACAGAGACACAGCGAGCTGATTGTCTTTCTAGAGCTGTAAGTTCCATACGCTGCAGGGTTGTTCTTGTTTGTGCAGAATTACAATATCACTGCAAGGCTGGGGCCCCACATTGCTATTCCAGCAGCACCTCTTTGGTTTGAATGTGCTGTCAGTGGAATGCGTAACGGGTAACCGTGGGCTTGGGCTGTATTAGGGAGGGAAGTTTAACTTGCTGCTGTGTACAGGCGGGGCTCAGGGCATCGATCTGGTGGAGAGTGGGTTTATGTGTTAGAGATCTGATTAAAGGAAGCAGCTGTATGAAGCGTGCAGTCCACAGCCCAAGAGCTTTGCAAAGATGACTGACTGTCAGTTTATAGACGGGACGCATCAGTTTCAAAGACTGAAGCCTACTTCCCTTTGAATAAAAGTGACCCTCATGATTATTCTCAAGGCTTTTTTGTGCTCATCTAGGGAGGAAGAAGCTTTGCCACAGTATCTATACGTCAAGGTGCTTTGGTTAAAACATTTCATGTGGTAAAAATACTTATCTGTATCTAGATAACTGAAATGTTTCATTTGATATGTTTCTCCAAAGTTTTCTGTAACATTCAAAATCCAATAATTTCCTTGAAAGTTAAAGGACAGTTACTTGAGTGTTGCTGGAAACCTGTTTTACAGATCTGGTTTTGGAGATTGCCCTGATGAGGGTACTCAGAAAAATATGAAGTTAGTGTTTTGTATCTGGATTTAATCTCTGTGCCTTTAGTATGTGTTAGCACGTTCCTGGGGAAATTAGGAGGAGTTTTTTTATTAGCGGAGAATGAATAATATTGTATAAGCAGTCTTGAGTTCTGATTCTCTTTCTTGATTTCTAGTATTTGCACAAGCTTTTCAAAAGAGACCACCATAAAGGCCAACGATATCATGAGAAACAGATCAGCCTTTACGCTGAATACGATCGCCCAAACTTACTGCCGTTTCTCAGAGACAGCACTCACTGTCCCCTAGAGAAGGTAAGCCCCCGAAATCTAAACACAGGTCCTCGGTGTTTATGTCTGTAGCTTGTAGTGTTGTGAATTTGTAACTGTGTCTGGTACTGCCCTCTACTGCCGAAAGGAGGGATCCTCTGAGTTTGTGACCATCCCCTGCAGAAGTTTGGTTTGCAGAGCTGGCTGACAGCAGAGACCTTCCTCTCTCAGCTCCCAGGGCAGGAATCAGTGGGGATTTTTAATGCAGAAGTTCTGAATTCACACGTGCTGCATACCTACAACATATTTACCCATCAGTGCCTGGCCTGACTGAGCAGGTTGTGGTTGCAAGAAACCAACAATAATTTTGCCAAAAAGAGGACTAGTCAGTGTTAGATCTTGAAAAATTAGTAGCTGTAGCTGGAGTTTTTCTGGCTTTGTATTCTAAGGTCTTAAATTGCCTTCAGATAATATACGCAATATAACAGTCACTGAACAAGCAGAGCTAAAAGTATTTTGTCTCTGTACTTCTGCTAATAGATTTGGGGTTTTGCAGAGTACCATGTTTCCACCTTCTTTAACCTTTTTACATTTTCCTTCCTTGCTCACTCTTGTCAAATTAAAAAATAAATAACGTTAAAGACAGTTTTTTTCCCCTGCTTGAATTAAAGTGAATTGAATGGAAATTTAATTTTTCCTCTTTAGTTGGGTCAGTATTTAATTATTTATATTTGTTGCTGTTAATGGCCAAGCAGAGCAGACTTTGTGAAAGGATGCTTCTCTGTATGCAGCTAAAATGGTGATACCAGTGGAGTAGTTTTAAATGTGATATTGAATATTGCATTTTACATGGTTGATGTTCTACAGAGAACTAGTACTGTTCCTGGTACCTCTCTTGTTTTGCATGCTTTTGTCAAATTTACTGTGCAACAGCAGGAAACACTGGAAAATACGTTGTTGGGATTGCCGGCTTGGTCTTCGTTGAAACTGTCACACAAAACTAGGTTGTCTCATTGATCCTTTTAGGCAATGAGCCTGAGAGGTTTCCAGCTAGAGACTTTTGTATACAATGTTGGCTTATTTGGCTTTAACTCCCTGATTCTCTCTTAGTTTTTGCCTTATATATTGCTTGTGTGGTCATGGGTTTATGTATAAAACCTTAACTGCCCTTTTTATTTCCTTTTGAAGCAAATTGGCTTAGTTATTGCAGATTTGGCCATTTACCTTCAGTGATGGGTGGTGCAGAGAAGTGCTGTGTGTAAATAATGCAAGCGCATTGCTGGCACTGCTTTACTGAAGTTATGGGCTGTGAGCAAGAATATGTAAGAGAAAAGGGTGTTAGAAAAAGTGTCATTCCAATCTTACGTTAGAATGTTAATGTTTCAGTAAGAAGCTAAGGAAGAGAAGAAAGATACCAACACTATGTGAAACTTAGTTGAATACTGTCACTGCTAACTCTGTAATTATACTTCTTACCATGCATATACAGTACACTTTTTGCAACATACAAATTTTTGTTAAAAGGAAATAAAAAGGGGTCCAAGAATCTCCCAGTTACCAATATTTTCAGTTCCAGTTAATCATCTTCCAGTGCAGTGTAGAAATTGCAAAAAGCCATGATATTTGAACAAATTCATGCTTATTATTGCTTTAAAGAAAAATTATAGGTCCGGCAAGAAGAGGTAATTCTTGTTCTTTAAAAGTAAGCCACTTTTATTCAAGAGCAGTTTAGCAAATATTTTATAAAATGAACTGGAAGAGAAGTATGAATGTTACTTGTTTTCCTCTAGAGGGAGCATGACAGTCAATAAACATGAAGCATCCAGAAGTTCTGAATACCTGGTACTTTGTAGTTTAAATTCTAAGCAGAGAGAGAAAAAAGGCTGTCAGCTGTGTGTATTACTCATTAGTATTATTGATACCTTCATTCTCCTGAAGTATCTGATGGGTAATTCACCCCTATCCCAAAATTCATTGTCCATATCTCTAATCTTAATAGTAACCCATCTGAAATAATTTGAGAATGGAAGGAAAAGTTAATTCCTAACTACATCTTTAGCTGTAGCTGTATCTTATGCATTTATAGTTTTGTTTTCCAAGTATGAAAGTCTTTATTGGTGAACAGGTGTCTTCAAAGGAATGTCATGAATCTTGAGTTTGCTTTCTGCTTCCAAACTGGAAACAGACATAGAATCCTTTATGGCATACCAGCCCTGCTAATTTTCTGATGCTAAAAACTTGTTGGTAAACAGTTTGGTACTTTTGGTAATTGTGCTAAGTGTTTTTCAACTACACACTGATTCTGTAACTGCTCATGGTATTTAGCCTTCAGATCTTTAAACCAAATTTACAAGAAATGCTTCCTCCTTATTCTTTCATGTTTGTGCTAGATTATTTTTATACTGTCATCTTGGAGGACACTGGTACAAAATTTGGAGGTCACTGTCTACCTCCCAGAACCATTCTGGTTACCCTGAGGAGATCTACAGTCTTGTGTTACAAATGAATGTCAAGCAGACCTCCGTCACTAGAGACCTCATAAGTCCACCCACAGGAAGCAAGTCTTGACAGCAGATAACCTTCATGCTTTTTGTCGTGGTTAAGGCCTGGTTGGCAGCCAACCACAATGCAGCAGCTCTCTCTCCCTTCCTCTCCGGCAATGAGAAGGGACAGAGAGCCAGGCTTGGGGTTCGAGATAGGACTGGGATGGGGAAAAATCCCCCTTTATGATCACGAGCAAAAGGCAGACTCGTTAGGGGAAGAAAAAAAAAAACATACATTTATTACAGACACTAACAACACATAACAGAGTAGGACAGTGAGAAGCATTGCCACATCTTGAGAACACCTTCCCCCCACCCCTCCCTTCTTCCCGAGCTCAGCTCTGCTCCCGATATCTCTACCTCCTCCCCCAGCGGCACAGGGGCAGGGAATGGGGGGTGCAGTCAGTGCTGCCACTTCCCTTATCTTCGGTGAGGGGAGTGTCTGGAACTTGTTCCTCCTGCTCCATCGTGGTCCCCCTCTCACAGGAGACAGTCCTCCACAAACTTTCTCCGACATGAATTCCTCCCACGGGCCGCAGCGTTCCCCACACTGCTCTGTCATGGGTCACTAACTTCCTCTGACTGGATTCCCTCCCACGGCTGCAGCCCTTCCCGAGCTGCTCCGGCGTGGGACTCCCCCGCATGCTGCAATGCTCCCAGCACTGAATTACAGCAGCGGGGCTGCCTTTTCCCACAAGACCCCGGCCTTCTTCGGGCACAGCACCTTGGTCATTCAAGCAGAAGCCACAGGCCATGAATCAATGTCTGCTCCACCGTAGATCTTCATGGGTGGCAGGGGGGGCCGCCCTGCCGTCTCCCCACAGGATACAGGGGGGTCTCTGCTCCGGCACCTCCCCCCTCCTTTCTTCCTCCGTTCCTCCACTGACCTTGGTGTTCATGCAGCTGCAGCAACTCCTCCTCACCAGTCCCACTGCCCGTCACCACGTCCCTTCTTAAATACGTTATCGCAGAGGCGCAGCCGATTGGCTCAATTTCCCAAACAGAAGTGGAGCTGACGTGGAGCTGGGGGAGCTTCGAGAAACTTCTCACAGGGGGCCGCCCCGATAGCCCCCTCCCCTGCCACCAAAAAACTCCACCACTCACTCAACCCAGGACACTTTTGGATTAACTAACTTTTGAAAGCAGAGGAAAGACGTTACCAGTAAATTTAAAGGTAGAGATTGGCATAATCCAGACTGAAATAGCTGTCCTGTCCCCAGATTTATTTAATCCTGTAGAAAAATAAAAAAAAATGCCATGGAGTTTCTTCTCGTAATTAATGCTAGAGGACCTGACAGTGCGTATTAAGAGAGCTGTATACATGTCAAAACAAGTGATGCAACTTAGTGGAAAAATATCTTTACACCACTTGCAGCATTTGTGATCAATAAAATATCATGTTACATGGTTCCCTGTGTTCTTTTTCCCTCCTCCTTTCTCCTTAATTCAAGGCTCTTGAGATCTGCCAACAGAGGAACTTTGTAGAAGAGACAGTCTACCTTCTGAGTAAGTAACACTCAGTGTGATAAATTACAACATGCTTTTAATCTTGTCATGAAGTTTATGCTGCGACAATGTGTGACGTATTGTCTAGTAGCATTTAACACACTTTCCCGGAGACAAAGTTGGTATGCAGTCAGTACAATCAAATAACATGTTTAGAAAATAAGACAAAGCACTGGATTATTCATATCATGTCTTAACTCCATATGTGTTACTGTGTTTCTGATTTGATGTTTTTCTGGGGTTTTGGAGGTTTTGGGGGCCATGGGGAATAGGTTGGGGGAGGAGGTTTTTTTGAGATATTCTCCAATAGAAGAGTAATACTGTCAGTTTAACAAGAGAGGAGAAATAAAACAAATATTTTATTCTGAAAACATCTCAGAAGCTTAGTATTATCTTTTCCTGAGGTGGAAGATTGGCTTATATTGCCATATTCTTTTCTTTTTTTAATAGAATTCATTATAAATTAACTCTTCCAGCAGGCTAAGGAATCTGCCTCTGAATGGGAGGCATTGTAATATAAAGATTTTTATGTATGTCTATGTATTAGTCAAGAACAGAATGGAAAGTGGTTTTTTAATCAATTTTTGTTTTAGCAAGAAGAATATTTTCTGGACTGTGTAAGAGCAGAGTAGGATTTACTCATGGATGTATTTAAAGAATAGTTCAGCATTTCTACTACTACTTCTTTTTCCCTCCTCTCATTTTCCATGGTTGTAAGCTGCTCTATACTTCCTGCAAATTAAGAGTGCCCATGTGGGCTCTTAAAGGGGGTATTTCGTGTCATAGTTTACATGCATACACATACCACACACTTCCCCATACATTACCTGTTGGTAATGTAAGGGGAACCCCTACTATGACCCAAAACACCCTTAAGAAAGGCTCCAGGTCCCAGTCCAGCAAAACGCTCCAAGCATTTCCTCAGGTATGCATTCCTACATCAGATTAGATTAGATTTGGTTTTGGTTGAATTAGTCTGAGGCAACTTCACACTTACAAAATTCATACTGAAATAGCTTCTTAAAGCACTGAGCATTGATAAGAATTTTGGATTTATAATCTCTTTACTTATTTTTCCCTTCCAGGCAGAATGGGTAATAGCCGCAGTGCCTTGAAGATGATAATGGAAGAATTGCAAGATGTAGATAAAGCTATTGAATTTGCCAAGGAACAAGATGATGGAGAACTTTGGGAAGATCTCATTTTATATTCTATCGACAAACCACGTAAGCGGGATAGTTTCTCAGAAGCTTTGCGTGTGTATTTTTTATTGTGGAATGCTGTTGCAATTAAAGGATTGAATTATCCACTTGCATGTTAGAGAAGGTGTTTATGGATGGCCGGGGAGGTGTTCTGGTTTGTGGAGCACAACATAACTGTCCTACTATGCATAAAAACTTCCCATAAGGCAGCATGTGGGCATGCTACAGAATGAGTACTTAGGGATTTAACATTTGACTAAACTCTGCATAGTTATGTCCTTAATGACAAATCAAGGGGAGAATGGTGCTTTTAATTTGGCAGAATGAGGCTTTATTTTTAGACAGCTTCAAAACACAGTCTGCAGGCTTGATGAGGATGTTGTGTAGTGTGTTTATTGCAGCTGCTTCCCTTTGAAATTCTGAAAATGAAGAGCCTACACCTTTCTGCCCCTCAGTAGAATAACTAATTTGTTTTGTTTCTGTGGCAAAGAAGTAAGATTTGTAATAATGAGTGCATTTTGCCTTTCATCCATTATATGAATAGCTACTCAAGGTTAAAGTTTAGATGGAATCAGGAGCTGTCAGAATCTCATAAGCAGCAGCAGGTTTTTTCAGGAGGCAGATTCAGAGGAGTTCATAGGATTGAGAAAACAGAATTATTTTAACTATATACTCCATTAGTTTTGCAACCTCTTCTGGGGCTTTAAATCAAGGCTTTAAAGTCTCTCTTGGGATATCTTTTCCGAAGGATTGAATGTCTTGTAGAATTAGTGTTAGAATACATATACTTTTCATCCCTTGGCCACTAATTCTGACAGGAAGATGCAATCAAAATCTGTTACTCCTTTAGAAGAATGGCATTCTCAAGTTACCCATACTTAAATACAGTCCCTCACTAAAAGTGATGCTACAATTAGTGGCATCTTTAGAGCAAAAGGGATTCAAAGCATATAGAATTCTCTCAGTTCTGTCTGCCCATATGCAGAGCAACTGCAGTGATATTCCTCAGCTTTGGGAGTTGAAGAAACGAACACAGCCTTGAGGTTCATCCGTCTAGTGTTTCATTTAGCCAGGTGCACTTCAAAAAGCAGAAGACTTCTTTTGTGTCACTCTCACCAATGTTTAGAAACACACTAGAGCTAGGTTAAGTGCTTGAAAATTTGTTTTTAAACCCTGGAGCTGGGAACAGAGTAGGCACGTAATAAAGTTAATTTTCTGGTTCTGTGTTCTTGAGTGCCCTTTTTATTGACTTGAAATGCATTATTTACTTGTGGGTTCGTGCTAGATACTCTGTTAGCCCTTTTCTGAATACCCTAGGAGTTCTGTGAAGTGCCAAACTGTATCTTCCTCTCTCCTTAAAAAGTCTATATTCAAGTACATACAGCTGCAAGAAACGTGTGAAGGCTATGTTAAAAGAGGCTTAGTGTTAGCTCTTAGTAGAGAACTGTCACAGAATCAACTGAAGCCTGTAGCTAGTCACCAAAGCATCCTTTAATCAGGTATTTTGCTGTATTTTTTTTCTTAATGTCTTTGCCTCTTGGTTTTCACAGCTTTTATTACTGGTTTGTTGAACAATATTGGAACCCATGTTGATCCCATTCTTTTGATCCACCGCATTAAGGAAGGCATGGAGATTCCTAATTTGAGAGACTCGCTAGTGAAAATTCTTCAGGACTACAACTTGCAGGTAAATGTCAGGTTCTTCCTGTGGTACTGTTTTTCAGAGAGACAGCAAAACCGCTTTGCACTGAACAGCATGAGAAATGGCTTATCGTGAAGGTTTGTTCATTTTGTTCAGACATCTGTCATTGACACTTTGGGTTAGTACAAAACTATGACAAAAAGGGTAGAAATCTGTCAAGACGAATAGTCTCTTCTCTTGATGCCTTCTAGCACTTCTAAATCTCTCCCATGCTGTCATAATCCTAGTGGGTAAGTAGAAGTGGATGGATCTTGGGTGTTTCAGACTATTTTATGCTGACTGACTGTCCAATATTGGAAGGTCTCATGACCAGTACTTTTCATTCTGTTTCATATATGAGGAGGCAGAACACAATGTGCACTCGCCAGAACATTCACCAGGTATTAGAGCTGTATGTTAACTGCCATACTAACTAAAAGAAGATGAACTTTTAAAATCAGATTCATGTCATCTGTGTAGAACGTGTTGATGTCTATGCATTTAAAAAAAAAGGACTGCTCACTGGATTATGGGAGTTCTTATCCCAGCATAATTTCACAGGTATGCGCAGTTCCCTACGTGACCGGGTCTGATGCGTGTTTGTAAGAACTTAAAAGAAGCATACCCTCCAGTGTTCCTAAAAGTAACAACAGAGTGTGTTGCACTGCATACTTGAAATCTCCCTGCTACCAAAGGAAGCCCAAACTTGAGTTCTCTTTGACCCTGCTCTGCACCTTTCTACTGAGAGACGTAAGGATAGAGAGCAGCTTGAATGCAGCCGGTGTGACTGCAGAGTCCAAGAAAACATAGCCCAGTGAGCAGCTGAAACTCCAATTTTCTGAACCTCATAAACATTTGTTTCCCATCTGCTATTAGTCTTGGGACATCTCTAGCTAATAGATAGGCTTGATGGTTTTCGGTAAGGTCACAGTTGGTCTCTTTTGAGGCCAAATAAAGCCTATAGGTACTAGAACCTTCAGTGATGCCAGAAGGCCTTTTAAAAAGGCAGAGTTTAAGCCTTTCCAAGGCTTTTCCTTTATTTTGTTATTATATGGACTTTAGATTATGACTTTCACTGTTTCAAAGAAGCATTTTATGTGTCTTATTCTCCTGACATTTGTTATGTGCAAGGAGCTACCCCAGATAAACAGATACATGTTTGCATGTAATGCATGTTGTCACATTACTTCCAGTTTTTAGTTGACTTAATGAGATGCTGATATCCTTCCACAATGATACTAGCTAAACAGCATGCTGCATTTAAACAGTCGGGTGTTAATCTTGCTGCTGTCAGTACTCTGCCGCTTGCGCTGCCGATCCTCCTGTTTCTGCATTCTCTTGAAATCAAAATGTAATTTTTGGTGTGTCTGCAGGTAGACTGAGACAGTGCTGTGTGCATAGCTGCAGCTTTACACGTATGCAAAGTACATTGCGTGGCTTCAGACAAAGCTGATGACATTGTTTGGTCACGTTTTGGGGAGGGAAGAATCATTTTGTCTTCAAATACCTTTTAACAAAATTACTTTGGGATTAAAAGGATGTATTTAACCTTCAGAGTGATATCTAAAATTATTTGCTGTTAGCACTGAAATGCTTCATGGATTTCAAATTAATTAATTTTTAAGTAGATTTGGATAGCTCTAGGGCTAAAATTTACATCTCATAGGAATAATAGAAATTAGGGAATCTTAGTGTAATTTGTGCTTAGCTTTCTTGTACAACAGCAAAACAATATATCAAAAAAAAAGTGGGGAGACTGTTTTTCTTTAGAGAAATGTAAGGTATACCTTAAAATAAGACTGTTCCTGAAGTGTTACAGGCAATGTAAAGTGCACCGTTTATGAACAGATGGTGTGTCTACACAGAAATTTAGAGATGTGATTGCAGCTCGTGCAGGCTCACCTAAGTAGCCCTCGATTGGCAAGCTCAATTTCTTTATAGCAGGACTGTTTCTGCATTCAGCGTGTGCTTCAGGACATGGCTGGGACTTCAGCTAAATGCCTAAGCCACGTCTCGTTGCTGAGGGCAACTCTGCCCTAGCTTCATTACTGCTGCCTCGTTAGCTGTTTTAAAGCTAGCCTTTGCTGTGTTTGTATGATGCCTGGTCACACCTTCACACGTAGCTCATGGTAAGAAGTCCATATCCTCTATTCTGGCCTGACACAACTCTTTGGGTTTTGGTAAAAGCTTCCTGATTTATATCACCTAACGTACCAGACATTTTACACTTGTATAGAAATCCGAATTTCATTGACCAGGACCTTCTATAATTTCATATATTTGGATCTCGAGCTCTGTATGTACATAAGTTTTGTTGTTCCTATTTTCAAAGGCAAAAAAGAAAATCTTGTGCCAAGACCCACAAAGGAGGTGCGCAGGTAAAGTTAGAACCTGTTGCTTGACTTGCAAGTCACTGCCTAACATGAAAACTATGCTGATCTTTTCATAAAGTTGGCTGCCCAAAAGGTATTACAGCTGTGCTGTTAGATTATTTAATTGTGGCCTCCTTTTGCAAGCCCTCATACAATTGTTTTGTGCTTATGCAAGTATGCGGATGCAAATTTCCTGTTACCATAGAACCACAGACTGGTTTGGGTTGGAAGGGACCTCAAAGCCCCCCCAGTCCCACCCCCCTGCCCCGGGCAGGGCCCCCTTCCCCCAGCCCAGGGTGCTCCCAGCCCCGTCCAACCTGGCCTTGAACCCTTCCAGGGAGGGGGCAGCCACAGCTGCTCTGGGCACCCTGGGCCAGGGTCTCCTAAATATCCACAGCAGTAAACTTTACATTAGATGTGATTTGAAATATGGGTAGGAGCTAAAAGTAGTGCCTTTCACAGACTTTGTCTTTTTGAAAACAGTTCTTTACATCCCAGAAAATCCAAGTGAATCAAATTGAGTGGCTGCCAGAGCATGCCATGTGTGGCTTACAGTGTGCGCTAGAGAATCCAGCAAGGAAGTCTACTAATGCAACAAAATATGTTGTAATTTTTTTTTTTAATCTGGAATCTTCCCTGAATAATTTAAGTTTTTATTAATGCTGGCATATTGCAGACCAGTTACTTCACTTGAGCAAATTACCACTGGTTAGATGAACTGCTGCAACTGTTCTGTGTGCTGCTCAAGCTCACCTCAGCTCTAAAGTAAATGTGGTTAACTCACACCTTTGAAAAGGAGTTAACATCTGTTCATTACCAACCAACCGAGCATGGCACTAAGATAAAATTAGGTATTCTGTTGGATAGAAAAAAAATGTAGACCACATGAGACTTTGTTCTTAGGCTACAACATCAATTAAGTACTTATAATTTGCTTTTGCTCTGGCATTACAGCTCTGCTTTACAAGTAGGGATCTGTTAAAATGCCTTATTATTCTTCAAGAATACCCATTTTTATTTTCCAACTTCAGGAAGTGCAATTCTGCCATGAATTTAAAACCCTCTTAAGTATTCTGCTATATGAAAAGATTAAAGTACCCGTTTAAATGTTTTTCTGAACTGGGATTAAAACTCCAAGTAATTATTTTTGTTTGTTTTTTCCCTCCTGAGGATCATTTACTGTAATGTTTTCACTGTGTCATCATCTGAGTTAATACATTAAAACCGTAGTACGTTATTGAGTGACACTGGTTAACTGTAGTGATGCATTCTGATTTTAGTGTTTATATACAGTAACATTTATAGACAACAAAATTATGAAGACATGGGCCACAGAGAAAAAGCTATAGTTGTCTGAATTTTAACAGGAGTATTTATCAAGTCAAGTGTAGTCTAAAATTTTTTTATTATATTTTATATCTAACTCCTGAAATCTAGTTCTTTGGTGCTATAAGTTTATAGATAAAATGGACCGCAGACTACATCCTTTGAATTTATAAACTCCTGAAGATGTGTTGTCTTAAGGAGAAACCTACTTATTTATTAGAAATGACACATTCCTAGCACTTATTTTATTTAATGGCAAATAAATCACCATGCTTCTGTCAACATTTTCAACATAACTAAATACCATTCAAATCTGGGGCCAGCTAACCAAATTGAGTCAAGTCAAATTGATACCCTGACAAAAGTTTAATAATTTTCATCTATACTGCTTACATTTAAAAGTGTTTTCAAAGACAGAGAATCAAAATGCAGCTTTATCTCCATACGGTTGAAAGTTGATGTCAGTGTAACTTTAATTCGGTTCCCACACAGAGACATTGCTCCTCTGGGACTCATACAGAATCTCTGTTCCCCTTAAGAATTTACCAGTGCAATTATTTTTAAAAACTCCCGTAGCCAACACAATTAGGGCAGTAATGCTCATATTTGGAAACTGTAGCAAAATCAGCATTTCCTACTGGTATTGCTATGCAAAATATAAATTCAACCTATTATTTTTTTTTCAGTGAAACCAGTGCTACTGATGATGTTTTTATACAAGTACTTTGAACTGAAACTCATCAGTTGTACAACAGTTTGATCTTAACAAGTACCTTCTTTTTCAAATGTACGATTGGACTTTGTATTTGCCTTTTATCTTTAGTTCCCTGGAAATTAAATTGAAAAAGAATATGAAATGGCTGACGTGTTGAAGTCTCTAGTATCTGATTACACAGTGGTCTTAACTTAGGAACAAGAAATGCAGGAACCTTTCTTAAAATAAGTCATGTAATCATGCTCGAGGTTTCTAAAGCACCGTATCACACGTCTCTCAGAGAAGGCTGATAGAAAAATCCTCTTATTTTTGCACACGTGAGTTAGTTATGAGCCTGTTACACTTTCAGAATGTATAAAATTGGTGTCTTTTCAGCTTTGGTCCATACCTGAGGAAAGCTTAGGAAATGCTTGTGGTGGTGGAAGAAATTTAAATACCTCTTGCATTTCAGGAAGAAATGCCTAATTTCTCACCCTTTGTATGACAGTTGTTAGAATAAAACTTCGAAAGATGTTGGTGTTCTATGTTTTTCCCCCTAGTGTGAAAATCTAAAAGCATTTTGTTTAGATGAAGTATCTCTAGATTTTGTGGATTAGCCATTCTGCTCAAACGTTGACTTACTAGTTCACCCTTCAAGTGAACCTGCAATAACTCTGATGGATAACAGAGATTCATCCATTCATAGAATTCACATCTATCCATCCATAACAGAGTTTATGAACTGATAGACCCCGACGATAACCTGATGAATGCTGCTTGAAACAGCACCTGGAAATATTGTTGGGTTTTGCTCCTGAACATGGGTAAGCTGCTGTTCCAGGCACCTTGGAGGCACTAGGGCACAGGGGGCAGCTGGCACAGAGGGACGTCTGCCTTTTGGTTGTAAAGACTAAAAATAATGTGCTTTCAACTGTGGTCCTGATGCCAGTTGGAAAAATTTGGTTAATTGACATCGAGAAACTTGGACTTGTTTGAGTGCTAAGCTGAATCAAGGCCTGAATTTATTCCCAGAGTTCTGAGTATACCCTTTCAAATTAACTGCATACCGCAGTGTTCTCCTTTAAAGATAACGTTAGGCATTTGTAAAATCAGGACTTTTTAAATTAAATACAAGTTTTTATGGCTTCTGATTTTAAGGATGCAGTAGCATCTTCCCAGAGATAGTCAGAAAATGAACTAGGATTCTTTTTTTGCAATAAATGTTTTAGTTTCAGCAGGTTCCATTAATTTGGTAAAAAGCATTATATCTGCCTAAAACTTCTTTCTGTAGGTGTACCAGGCTCTCCTGCATGTGCTTACAATGATGTGCTTTTAAAGGGTAAAAAAAAAGTTCATTTTCATCCTCTCTGAGTCCTATTTCTTGTTGGAAAGTGGTTCCATTACAGACTTATGCCTGATGTCAGTTTTAACTAGTTTAACCTAATCTTAGGATGCACAGTTACATACTTCTCCCTCCTTTTAATGTAAAGAAGTTAAGTCAAACATTCTTTCTCCCTCTCTAATCTCCAAATTCCCTCCCCTAATTCCCTTTCTGTAACTCTTAAGTAATCCACCTCATCTTTGAGTTCTTCAAATCTGTTTCTGCAGAAGTGTTGAGATTTATTACCTTGAGATTTGACATTTTACATTCTTCATTGTGACTTTATATAACAATAGCTGCCTTCGGTATTCCATTTCTAGCAAAATAAGGTCTGACAAGCAGTCATTGAACGTGGTATGGAAAAATCTTAGTGGAGTTTAAATAATGGGAGAAAGACAGTGCATGTGTCTTATAAGGTATTTCTGTTATTTCTGTTTTTTAAGGCATCTAACAGTATTGAGGTTTTCCAGTGACCCGATGAAGTCTACTGTTTCCCTCTTAATTTTTGTTTTTCAAAATTAAGTTTTCCTATTGGCTAACTGTATTTTAAGTAGAAAATAGTAAATCATGCTCCCTTCTTCCCACTGTATCTCTGTTCCACCCCACTCCTTTAACATCCCTGCTTTGCTCCTTTTACTTACACATCGGTTTTTTTCATCTGCTTATGCTGAGTGCAGCTAGCAAAGACTCCAGTGCATAGCCAAGACCTCATCCACTCTAAGGTCTTTGGTGACAGAATATTTTGAATCAGGCAAGCACTCATTCTGAAAAACAGTCTCATTCAATTGTCCTTGCAAAAAGTTTCCTGTATATTTTTCAAAGCTAGCGACATTCTTCTACATTTTAGAAAAAATTTAACATTCTCTCTTGCCCTTGGATAAAGTTGGAAGAGGAAAGACATACTCAGATATTTCCTGAGATTATCACAGATAAAAGTGATTAATTTTCTGAGCCTTTGTCTTGAGCTGCATTCAGTTTCTGGTGCTCTGAAATGTTTTATAGCTCAGTGTGTCTAAATCTGGAGAATGTCACTTATCCACTGGCATGCCCGGTTTGAAATGCTTAATGTTACCCAATTTTAATTTTTTTAATGTATTTCAGATTTGCAATCTTAATTGCATATCGTTCTTGGCAGTGTGTCCTTATTACTTTGCAATGTGTATGTGAGAAGATAGGGGTTTGGACAGCATTTGCTTGGCTGTAAAATCTATTATTATACTTCTTTTTCGATATTTGCTTTAGCTGTATCTTGGACTATTTTAAAATGCTTAATGTCTCCTGCAATGCAAATAATCAGGAGAAAGGAATGGACATTGCCTCTTTATACCGCTTTTTTGGTAGGGTTGTTCAGCTTAGAAATGACTGTGAGCCTCTCTTGAAAGCACTTTTCAGAGGAATTGTCTTGGAAAACAAATTTCCAAACATCGATACAGGAGGAGGAAGAAAAATTCCACAAGGCTTATTTGGGTTTCTCCTATTTTCATACTTGCCTCCTTAAGTATTGTGAAATAAGGCTCTGTATAATTTTGATGCTCTTTATCCCCTTCTGTGTCTCACAACATTGTCAGGCAATGACATGTCAATCTAATGGAAAATATTAAATAAGTAGAAAATAAGCTTTTTGCTAAATAGGAACAAACTCTGGACCTTTGGTTAGTTGTATGGACGTTTAATACTGCTTACTAAATGACACCTCAGCAGGAAATATATTTGAACAAAATAAATTTTGAATTGCTGTGGTTACGAAGGTTTTATGATTATCAAATGCCTTTCCTAAAGAAGACGGGAAAGATATGTGTAGAAGAAATTTTGAAGTGGTTTGGAAAGCAATTGAGGGGCACCATAAAAATCCCTCACCATGGGACGTTGTTAAGCCAGGTTCAGAGGAAGAAGATGATAATTTATGACAGTAATATATTTGTAAAGGATTTGATTTTTTTTTTGAGGGTTGTTGGGTTGTTTTTTTATAATGCAGGTTTTTCGTTTAGGTAGAGGTGGTGGTAACAGGAGGGCCCTTCTTTCCCTCCTTTGTAAGAGCTTGGAAAGTTTTAGACATTCCTCGCACTCTCCTTGGCAGCAGGAACCCAGTGGAGGCTTGAGAAGGTGGTTGATACGCCCACCCATTCAACAACTGCTGTATCTTATGTTCTTTGCACCAACAGATCTTGCTGCGGGAGGGTTGCAAAAAGATACTTGTTGCCGATTCTCTTTCTTTATTGAAGAAAATGCATCGAACTCAGATGAAGGGTGTTCTAGTAGACGGTGGGTACAGAGGAAACATGGTGACTTTCAAGGTTTTGCAGTCTTTTACTTGGTTTATGGACCAAAGCCACATGACTGTCCGCTTTGGAAGCTGCTCAAAAGCCTGAGTATTGTGCCTTATGTGTAGAGGGTAGTCAGATACCAGCTGCTTTACCCCTTGAAAAAGCTGCTCATATCTCAAAAACTACAAGACCCAGCATGCAGCTTTTCCTCTTGATCAGTCTCTGCATAGCCAGTAACGTGTTGTGTCCTGCAGTTTGTCTGTAAAGGTGAAAAATGCTGCTCGGTGCCAACACAAGACAGTCGGATGATAATAATCTGCAACCAAAGCAAAAGCTATGAGTTTTCAGAAATAGCTGAAGATATTTTACAAGGTGCTAATGATGCACGTGAGCAGCGCTGTAATTCACCCCAGCTGAGTGTTAATACCGAGAGGCAAAAGCTGCCAGAAGGACAGGGGATCAGCGCGTACGCTGCAGAGATCCTGGGCACCCATCCTAAGCTCCTTTTTTTCAGTTCGCCTTCTGCCTCTGCGGTGCTGATCCTCAACAGCCTCACTCCTGCAGTTCTGCCATCATCAGATGCAGAAAATCTAAACATTTCTCATGCTGTTAATAGAAATGCTGCTTCAGTATTGCTCTTCAATTTTTAATAGACTCTGTTAGACATCATAGATAGTTTAAGACCAAGCTCCATTTCTGTAATAGCAGTATGTTCATGCCAGCTTTATAAAAAAGTAAACATGGAGTTTGTTAACAGAGCTGTTACAAGTCTGGTTTGGTTTGTTTTGTTTTTCCAGAGGAGAATATCTGTGAATCATGCCTGTCTCCAATACTTCCTTCAGGTAGGGTGCTTTTCTAGAAGAGAAAGAGGTTGTCTCTGTTTTTGTTTATTGTTGTTTTTCTTTTGTTTGTTCATTTTGTTAAGAGGGACTACTATTTGCTTTTATTCATAGAAATGTGTAGTAGTCTCCCTCAGGAATCATTGTATAAATTTCAGTCTCCTGTCCAAAGCTTGCTTATGAATTCTGGCGTGGGAGTGGAATCTAACTTGAATTTTTTTTCTTGAAGTAAACCCAGATTTTTTGCCTTACTCATCTTTGACTTCCCTATTTTCTGTTTGGAAATACATGGGATGCAAGGCAACTTTTAATTCCATCAGCATACATACTCTCAAAGACTATTAGAACCACAAAACTAAGCTGTTGCCACCAAATCTTGTCCAACTCTGTTGAACAATATAGACTGGACTTGCAGATTATAAAGTTTTATGGAATATACTTTTAGTCTGAGTGGTGGAAAACTCTTGGCTTCAGTCACTGCTGTCATATTTGAAATAACTTATAACAGAATGTAGTTTTAAAACATCATCTAAAGTTAGTTTTGAAACTTGAAATTCAGGATGTTATTTCGAAGATCTACATTCTGCAAGGGAACTGCAGTCCAGAAATACCAACAGAGCTGTTGGGCACCTTAACAAAGTATATGTATGGACTTTTTTTTTTGTTCGCCGAGTGTGCATAGCCCAATAGAATCACTTACGGTTTTTCAATCTGGCTTCTACCGTTTTTCACTTAAATAAATAAAAGAACAGCTATAGCATGATCACACGCACCAACGTACAGACCACAGCAGCCCCACGGTGCTGGCAAACCTGGCAGAGCTGAGTGCGCCAGGGCCTGGGGCCGCGTGCGTCGAGGGAATGGGAGCCAAGGAGCCGAACGTGGCTGATGCCGATGAGCGCGGGGGTCACCCCTTGTGTCCCTGGGGGAATCGAAAGGCACATCGTGCGCTTGGGCGGCTTCTTGCCCAGTTCCAAGACGGTGGCATGCAGTGTAGGTGCTAGAACTGCTTGATGTCCTGGCTCTCCCCATGCCACTGCCGGAATTTTTTTGCTAACTTTTCTTCAAAGCGGCTGAATTATTTAGTGGGAGTTTCCTCTTCTTCCTCCCCAGATTTCGCATGTAGCACGTATTGACATGAAAAATTTCTGGTGAAAATGTATACAGCCTTTAAACCACAGAATAAAAGTGACTTGTAACTCCATCACTGGGACACGTTACCTGAAACCATCGCTCTCCGTGGTGTCTGTGAACGAGTCAGAATAATTTGGAAGTGAATTCGAGAGATGTTACTTGATGTTTCTCTGTGTCTAATAGAGTGCAGGCATATTCTGCTGTAGCCACTGAATCATTTGTTTTATTGCTCTGTTGTAAGGAATTTACTTTTCTCTTTCCCAGATGCATCCAAGTCCTTCAACGTGGTAGTGTTCCACTGCAGACATATGTTTCACAAGGAGTGCCTCCCGGTATCTAACACAGTAAGTGACTAGCTTAATCTCTCTTAACACCTTTGCCAAAGATAAAAGGACAAATTATTTCCTTTTGTCGACTGTGGAGAAGGGCAAGGGTCCATCAGGAATTTTAATATGATTACAGTAATGATTTGTGATGATACCCCATAGTAGTGTGTGACTGAGGAAAGGTCGTTTAGGGCCACTGCAACTACAGTTCAGCTAATTTAGAAAGAAGCTTCTGCTGTTTGAGAAGTATTTTAGCACTTTCTTCAATCTGAATATGTAATGCAGCTTTGAGATATACAGGAAATACAACCTGCTTGATTTTTTTTATGAATTCTTTTCTGTTGCAGCTCTCACTTTAAGTATGTTTCAGTGAAGATGAGAATAAAGATACTTTCTTAAGTGAACCATATTAAATGATTCTGACCTGGAAGGAAAAAAAATCACTCATTTCAGAGTGAATATTTAAATATCTTTGTAATCATCTTTATGCTCAGAACATGTTTTTCTTCATCAGGGAAATCTTTTTTTTTCTTCTTTTTCTTTTTTCTTTTTTCCAGTGAAAACAAATCAAAAAAGTAATTTCTAGTTATAACCAGTTTTGCATTTAGGAGTGAAAGCATCGGAGTGGTAACAAAATCAGAAAGAAAATGGAATTTAGGCTTTTCTGATTCTGTATCTGTCTCTGAAAATGAACATCTAGTGAAAAAATAACCTTGGTGATTCACTTAATCTTCAAGTAACCGAGTAAAGTGCTTGCAGCCATATGGTCAGCACGTATACTTAAATACGTTATGAAAATCTTAATGAATTAGATCATTTGCATGAGAAAGCCCAACATCTAGTAAATATCTATTCAAGCAATATTTACCACCAATATTATTATTTGAGAAATAATCTAAAATTTATTTAACCTTCTCAGTTTTTTGGGGCAGCTAACTTGTCAGATGGGATTTTTAAATGTGACGTGGATATTACATTAGATATATTCTATAACACGTATGAATATCCAGGTATTTGCATACATCTGAGCCAAATTCTCCACTGCCATAGTATTTCTCAGCCCTAGGTAATCAGCTGTGTTACTGATACTTGGTTACTGGTGAGGTACTGAAAGGAAAGTAATGCATGCAGAAAGCATTGCACAGAGCTAAACAGGGGAGTAACAATAAACACATATTTGCTATCAAATGGGCAGTATTCAGGCCATATCCTCAGCTGCTGGAAATCTGTGGAGCACTGTCCAAAGACACCCAGTGGTCAGTGGAGCCAACCAAGGGCCTTTCTCTCTTCTTTATGAAGGCAATAAGTGATACTGTTGACTCTCTGTTTTTCATTTTTGTTGTAGAGGAAGTTTTCCCTTGCTCTCCTGGAGGGTGGTGACCTTGCACTTGGAGTGAGTGGTGAGACGTACTGCCCTCTGACTCCAGAACAGCCTGCTTCAATGTGTTCTTCTGTATCACCTTCCTATACCTATCCAGGAATACATCAATAGGGAACAGCCTGACTGTGAACAAAAATGTTGAGAAAGGCATCAGCGCTTTTCCTTCCTCTTCCCACATTCTAACGGGGTTAGGTTTCTCTGAGTGATTCTTGTTTTCTTTTTCAATCTCTAGGCATCTCCTGTCCAGTTCTGCAACATATGCAGTGCCAAACACCGAGGACCAGGAAGCGCAATCCTGGAGATGAAGAAGTAGCAGTCCCCTCGTTCTCCCTGCCCGTGTGTGACACCAATTCTGTTAGGACCATGCAGAGCCACTGTAGTTTCTGTTGGTCATCATTTCTGTATATAATCCTGATTGTGATTTAAAACTGGTTTCTGTAAGTTATTCAGCTTATTGAACATGTTCAGGGAGGAGAAAATGTGAAAATCTTTCCCTAGTGAGTTTTTGTTATGCAATTCATATGTCACTGTTCCTTTGCTCAGCTAGTTACTTAACTCTGGAAGAGAAAATAGAAATAAAATGGGAAGACACAAAAAAAAAAAAAAAAAAAAAAAAAAAAAAAAAGAACCGTTTGGAGATTTGTGCTTGCTAACAGTTAAATGTGCTTTATATCAGGTTCATGGTTAGATACAGAAAGAAAGATGAATTGCTGTGAATTCAGCTCACCAAACTACTTTTGTCCTGATTTAGTCTTTTAGTGAGCTGTTTAACTTGAGACCCATAGGAGTCCATCTGCTTTTGGTGGAACTGCTGCAGGGCTTGAAGCTGGCTGTGGGCTGACTCATACATTAAATTAATCAACTCGTTAACTGTTAATTCCACACACTAGCAATTTACCTTGGTGGTATGGTTACACATTCATAGTTTGTTATAAACTGGTTATTTTTGCAGGTGATCTTCATGATGCAGTAGTTTAAGGTGGGCTTTTCTCTTGTTAAACTCATCCAGAAACTGTATCTTTAGATGTTAGCAGTAGGTCAATCCACTTAGAAGTGTGGCTGTAGTGTGTGACTTCATTTAAATATGGGGGGAAGAGAAATTTGGCCTTGCAGAGATAAGATCTTTAGGAGTTTCTTTTGGCCTAGAAATTTAATATCTAAGTTAAATAAGTCTATTTGAATGTTAACAAAAATTGTATTTATTGTTAATTTCAACAATGTTCTGTTTTGTTGATCCAAATGAGGTGATCTTTCAGAATGTCTTCACAGTAATGTAATCTCTTTATAATGTTCTCTGATTAAATTAAATATAACCATCTTTTCCCTAAAAAAGGTAATTTTTCAGAACTCCCAAGATATTTTTCCTCTTCTTAATAGCTGGAGTTGGAAAGTAAAATGCATTGTTTTACCATCAAATTGTGAGGTTTAAACAAGTAGTTAACATCATAAGTTATGAAGAAACAGTGTAGTGCTACTGCAGTGTATCTGTAGAACTGGAAAATACAACAGCTCTAAGTTCTTCTGTACCTTACTTCCATGTAGGTACACCTTAAAATAATTCATATTGCAGAAACCTAGATTTCTGGTTTATGTAAATTCATTATACTCTTTTGATACCCCCAGGCAGTTGGCTGAGCTCATCTAGCAATCTGGAGAGTGACTTCTGTTGTCCACTGTGTAGATCTGTATAATACTGGAATACAATTTTAAGTGTATTAGAAATGCTAGGATTTACTCTGCATGGTTACAGAGACAAAATTATCATTAAAAGGCTAGATCTCTCAAAAACATAGCAATCATATTCTATTGTGATAATACAGACAGCTGAGGAAAAAATAAAAATTGGTGCAGGTTATTTCTGGACACGCGTAACCGAAGGATGGGAGTTGTGTAGTGCAGAGCACAGTCTGCATACATCAAGCTTCACTTGTAAGAATTACTGCCTGGCTCTGGAGCAGTTCCTTTTCAGCACTCGTACACATTCTCAGGTATATTGTTCATTTATCCATTCTTTACTACACTGATCAGGAAAGCTGCTTTGATTCCTGGTAAACTCCAGTGAGCTCAAGACCTATTTCACCATGATATTTGAGCTCTGGCGTTCCTGTAGACAAGTTCAGAAACTTTTTTAAAAAACCTCTTCCAGTAGCTCTAAGCAGCTTTTCTCTATTGTACCCTAAGAAAGCACTGTGCAATGCCATAACTGTCAGCTTGCGGGAGGAAATAGTCAAATTACTCCTATACAGTTTTGCCACAAAGTGTTCTGTAGCTCAGAGTTATAATTTAAAGCAGGTATATTGTTTACTTCAGCTTGGCCTTAAATTCCCTAAAGCATTTGAGCATTCAGTGACTCAGTTTGCTAGCCTGCCATCACCAGCAATCATACTGCATTATACCCTGGCATATTCTTTGCATTATGCAAGTAATTTTAAATCACTGTATGAAAATCTAATCAAAATCTTCTCTAAATCCAAAGCTTCTTTCATTTGGGCTTCAGGGACTACCCTTTTCATGTTCCTGAATTCTAAATTTGCTCATTAACATTCAGCAAGAAATGTACAGTCCTGACTTTGATTCACTTTTCTTCCTAAGAAACCTTCACATCATAGAAAATGTCTGAGGTTAGAGTCTAAAATATTCAGCTACCCAAGAGCTTGTCTTCTTGGAGAACAGTTCTGCCTGAAAAGTAGCCTTAAAGTTGCATAACCCTTCAGAAAATTACAGAATAGCACTTACCCAGATTCACCAGACCTTACTTAAGACGTCATTCCATTTATCAAAGTGTTGGTGCTTCTAAGGTAAATTTAACAAGGGAAATGCTATTTTTTCACTGATCCATCCAGTTCTGTGTGATTTCTTCAATGGTGACCAATAAAGCTAACTGAAGTGATACATGGTGGTTCAAGTAAGAATGCATTGGGCTGCCATATCAGAGAAGCAAAAGTATTTTGGTGATGAGTCTTTGGATGATGTTTCTCATCCTTGTTTTATTATTTGAGACCTGCAGCGCTGTGTGACAGGCTCGGTGACAATGTTGGGCTACACTAAAGGTTTTGGTGGGCCTAAAAGAGCGAGGAGCTACTGGTGCTTGGTGAGCACAAGGGTATTTAGTCCTGCTGAGATCTTGGCTAAAAGGAACGGCACCAGGGTAAAGGTTGATTTCTGCAAAAGGAGGAGTTAATCTGTTCCTAGCAGACCTGTGGGGACTGGGGGGGACCTGTCAGGAATAAAGCTCTAGCTAGCAATTTGTGGGGCGAACAAGAGGTGCCTGTTGCTCTTGTAATACATGAATTATTTATTGGGTGGTCTTTTTATGGCTGACAGACAATGTCTGCAAGGGACTGGGACAGGCTCTGCAGATCTTTTGTTTCTCACTGAAGCTGAGAGGTGCATGACTGGCTTTTGCCATCTCCTGCTACAGCTGAATCTCACGAGTTTCCCACCTGGTAGCTGTGTCTCGGGGGGCTTGAGGCAGCTCCTCTGCCAGGTCAGTGACGTGCTCAGTCAGCTCTGTTTGGTGCTTGAGCAAGAGCCTGCTGCCCAGCATTACACAAATCGGTGGTGTCGTGGTTAAGACCTGGTCAGCAGCCAACCACCGTGCAGCAGCTCTCTCTCCCTTCCCCTCCGGCAATGAGAAGGGACAGAGAGCCAGGCTTGGGGTTCAAGATAGGACTGGGATGGGGAAAAATCCCCCTTTATGATCACGAGCAAAAGGCAGACTCGTTAGGGGAAGAAAAAAAAAAGAACATACATTTATTACAGACACTAACAACACATAACAGAGTAGGACAGTGAGAAGCATTGCCACATCTTGAGAACACCTTCCCCCCACCCCTCCCTTCTTCCCGGGCTCAGCTCTGCTCCCGATATCTCTACCTCCTCCCCCAGTGGCGCAGGGGCAGGGAATGGGGGGTGCAGTCAGCGCTGCCACTTCCTTCATCTTCGGTGAGGGGAGTGTCCGAAACTTGTTCCTCCTGCTCCATCGTGGTCCCCCTCTCACAGGAGACAGTCCTCCACAAACTTTCTCCGACATGAGCTCCTCCCACGGGCCGCAGCGTTCCCCACACTGCTCCGTCATGGGTCACTAACTTCCTCCGACTGGATTCCCTCCCACGGCTGCAGCCCTTCCCGAGCTGCTCCGGCGTGGGACTCCCCCGCATGCTGCAATCCTCCCGGTGCTGAATTACAGCAGCGGGGCTGCCTTTTCCCATGAGACCCCGGCCTTCTTCGGGCACAGCACCTTGGTCATGCAAGCAGAAGCCACAGGCCATAAATCAATGTCTGCTCCACCATCAATCTCCATGGGTGGCAGGGGGGGCCGCCCTGCCGTCTCACCACGGGATGCAGGGGGGTCTCTGCTCCGGCACACCTCCCCCCTCCTTTCTTCCTCCGTTCCTCCACTGACCTTGGTGTTCATGCAGCTGCAGCAACTCCTCCTCACCAGTCCCACTGCCCGTCACCACGTCCCTTCTTAAATACGTTATCGCAGAGGCGCAGCCGATTGGCTCAATTTCCCAAACAGAAGTGGAGCTGACGTGGAGCTGGGGGAGCTTCGAGAAGCTTCTCACAGGGGGCTGCCCCGATAGCCCCCTCCCCTGCCACCAAAAAACTCCACCACTCACTCAACCCAGGACAGGTGGGTCAGTTAATACTTCAGGGTGTCATTCTATACACAAAGTGTGTTCTCTGGCCGCAGTTGCGTCCAACAGCTGCTCACCTGTGGGGAACCTTGAACCCGGCGGGGGTTGTGTGCTGGCACTGCAGTGCGTTGTTCAGTGTCGGATCTTGGGTTACAGAGCCAGAGCAATGGCAAGATGAGTTGTTTTCCCATGCTCAGATCCACATCGTATTCCTGTTAGAAATAAGTGTTTTCATGGACATTTGCTGCCAAGGGCTTGACTGCAGATTTGTCAAGGACTACTGTAAACCAAGAAATAGCCAGTTGTCTGCTATGTTTTGTAATGTATTTTTAGTAGGAGACTATGCTGCAACATCTTTTTCTAAATTTTGGCTGATAGAGGCTGTCAGTATTCCATATAGACTGCACGGGTTGGCTTATCAAGTTTCCATCTTAGGAAATTTAATCACTTTCTACCTGATAGTTAATGGTTATTCAGCTAAAGTCTTTTAAGCTGGCACCACTGTACTCTTTGCTGTTGTGTACACTACCACAGTGGTTGTCTGCTTGGTGAGTAGAGTTCAAGGGGACTGGAATTGCAAATAACCTCTTGAATGAAAACCTCACGTTGGGTTTCCCGTTTCTGAAATGTTGTGATTTGGCATTCAAGTATTGTGTGTCTCAGTCACCTTGGAAAATACAGTGACATCTTGGCAAGTTGGTTGGATCAGTCCCTGCCTGTGTCATTTGATAGCGGTTTGAAAAAAATACTTGCAGGAAAATTCTTAGCTAATGCTGAACAAGGGCCATCATCTGAATGAGGAAAATCTCTAAGAAGCCCGTTTTCCCTCTCTCCTGTTCTGTTGTACACTTCTGCCTTAATATCTATGCAGCATAACTTTTACCTGTGTTTGCAAATGCCACACACAACATCAGGGTCTCTTCCTCTCTAGAAGAGCTTCCACCTTGAGCAGGTCTTTGCCAAATACTAGCTGTAAATCAATTGCTGTATTCTCAAAATGAATTAAACAAGACTTGTAAGAAATGAAGTACCACATTTAGAGAATGACTCCTTAGTTATATACTTTTGATACTGTCTTCTTACTCCACTGTGCCATGAAAGATTAATTTTCTGTTGGCATTAGAGAAATCCCTAGATGGTGTTTTTTCTGTTCTTGAAGACAATGCGTGCTTTCTCTTCCTATAATAAAATATTAAATTATGCAGAAAACAGGGCAGCTGAAGTGTCTGAGGCATCAAACGCACAAGAGAATAGGATGCGTGAGAAGTTCGAAGAGAAGTCAGTGAGTCATAGTGGGAATGACCTAAATTTAGTCTTAAAAGACTTCAGTAAATTGTGATCATAATAAGCTTTTGCAGTAGAGCAGGTCCTAGGGGCTCTGATGTGTTCAGGCTGTGGCATGCCCCCCCGGAGCCTGCAGTGTGAACAGACAAGGCTGCCAGTGGCTTCTGCTCCTGGGTTGTGCTTGGAACCAGCTGCGGTGCTGCAGCAGGAGGAGGCAGCAACCTCTGGAGCGGGGGCTGGTGCCCCTCCAGCCTGGAGGAACTGCCAGAGGTGGAGGTGTGCTGCGGGAATTAAGGGCTAGAAAGTGGCAGGAGCTGCCCAGGGCAGCTGAATGGTTGGTTGTTTTTTTTTTTTTTTTCCCCCGGCACTTGCTTTTAGTCTGATCCCAGTAGGATTTAAGTCCGACTAGGTTGACAAGGTAACACTAGCTTGGTGTCTGATGGCTGTAAAATGGCATTTAGCAGGATGTCAGCTGGATGACATGTTCCGGATAGTGTTCACACAGGGTGCAGGTTTGTCTGTCTCTGGTGGCAGTGAGGGACGAGAGCCACAACACACAGCTGTGGATTTTTAAAAACTCAGATTAAGATAAAGGTTTTTAAGAATGAGCAGTTGTCTCACATTACCGTGTCTTGCACACAGTATATAGTAGCACTGGAAGGTGCAGGTGACAGTAGTATTTTCACTCTGTAGGACCCATTCAGTAGCCGCTAATTTTGCACATGCTGGCACAAGAATCACTGAAGCACTTCTCACATGCCCAACACCAGCTATTAAGAGTCTTCATCTGGAATTTCTGCAAAGTAATGCAGATCTTTAGTTAAAACTGAAGTTGGGAAGCATTTTCTCTGTGCAGTCTGTAAAGCTGAGCCAAGAATATATTTCTGGCGTAACTCAGTTCGGTGCTGTGCAGAGTTTCATTCTCCCTGCAGTATCAAAAAACTTTCTGGTGATGCACTAAGGGGACTGTGTTCTGTTTACATTATCCCATATTTGTTCTCTCTCTTTCTCCCCTCCTCCCCTCACCCCCCAAAGTATGTGCACTGGAACGAGTGCCTTGTTTTGAATTGTGCAGTGATTTTCAGTCTGTATCTACAAGTACACACACTGGGCTGTGCATCTGTTAAGGTGGGCAAGATCAAAAGTACTTGCTCTCTACGTCCTGCGGAAGGCAGCCAGATCTTTGTTCCTCCGTCGGTCCTGGGGGAGTTCATTCCCCAGTATGAAGACAAGGAAAACATTTTCCTTCAGAGGTGAACTTTCCAAAATAACAGTAATTTTCAGTGGTGCCAAAAGAATCACTGAGGTAGGAAGGGACTTCTCAAGATCAGCTAGGCCAGTCCCCCTGCTCCATCGCCTTCCCAGGGATTGAGATGAGGCTGATGAGCATGTGGTTCCCCAGATCCTACATCTTGCCCATCTTAAAGATGATGATATCCCAGAGGATCAGTTAAAATGAGGAGTACAGCCTCGAAGAGTGAGATTTCCTTTTTCCAGTCTTCAGGAACCTCTTCTGATTGAGACGGCCTTTTAAAGATGATCACGAACGCTTTATTCACGCTGAAGGCTTTGTGCACGGGCATTTTACAATGTTGCAGTCCAGTCCAGAGATGAAGCTAGTACAAATTATTGCGGGTTAGGTCACGGTCCCCAACAAAAGGGCAGATGTTCCAAAGCGCCTGGCTTCGCAGAAGCATTACTCAGTCTTTACAATCATTATTCACAGAAACAGTGCCAGCTTCCTCAGCAGTGGTAAAAATGCAGCTGTGGTTGAGCACATTTCTGACATGCAAACTGTCCTTTGCTGGCTCTTTCTTTCACAGGTAACTGCTCCTCTTGTCCTGCTTATTCACGTAACCAACAGCTGCCCTTGCAGCTCTCGCTGCCGGGGAGTTGCAGTGGAAATCCTCTGTTCCTCCACTGTCTGCACCAAGAGCTACGTCAGGCTGCTTTGGAGCTGTTCATCTT